GTATTACTGTATTCTGTGCGTTTCAGTGCTCGGATGTGTTGCGTTTCTGTGCCAGGCTGCTGGTTCGACTCCTATGGAGCAGGATGGTTGGCTGGCTGGCTGGCTGGCTGACGGCGTTGCGTCACGTACTGTTGCAGCCGCCAACTTGTTGCCCCTGACTGGGATTTCATCATTCATTGCAAGAGGCTGAGCGGTGCAGTGCCGCCGCTCGCCAAGACACATTTGTTCATTACATCATTTCCCTCATCTTGCGCAAAGTTTTATTCAGGCTCAGAGCTCGAGCCTTTTCTCTTTTGTTCACTTGATGGGTACAGTGACCTCTGACATGCACACACCCTCCTGTCCTCCAGCGTGCCGTTGCCATGGTAACCAAAGGGCTTGGCATGGCATAGGGACTTTAATCACTTTTTTTTGATAACAGTGTATGATAGCAATCACCACACACACACATGTACTTCAATGCCTTCAGTTAGTGTGCTGCTAAACAAACAAGCACAAATGTGGCTTCAAAGAGATCTGTGTGTAAGATCTGTTTAAAAAAAAAAAAAATCTTGGTGCCAGAGCACATCTGCGGTGCTGCTACCCTGAAAGTAACCCTGAGCCGACGGTAGACGAAGCTTCATTTCTGCCTTTGAGCGTTGCAGGAAGACTTTCTCAGCAGGGACAGACTTGAGATTTTAGCTGTCAAACACTCGTAAAAAAAAACAACCATCCTCGCTTCACAGACACCGCTATCACCATGGCAATATTTTGAGCTTATTCATGGGGGCCAATTGCAGTATTACACATATGGGAGAGGAGGAGCGGAGGCTGTGTGCAGAAGGAGGGGATGAGGGAGGGATTTCAATATACCGTGTACAGTGAATGTATTGTAACGTGCGTCTGTTGTCAAGTGCTTTTAAATTATATTTTCGTATGTAACGTGGAGACCAATGTTTCCTTTTTGTATGGGGGGACAACAGGTTCTGAGCAGAGTGACTTGTAAATGATGTCAAACTGTCTTTCTATATAAAAGAGAAGCTGCTTAAATGTAAACAATAAATGACTGAAAAAAAAACCAACAAAAAAAACAGCAAAATAAAGTAAAGAGCTCTGTAGCTCAGACTGATGGTGGAGGTCTTTCTTCCCTTCTCAACCCAAACGAAGGAAAACAGTAAAATGGAAATGCATTTAGACAAGCTTACTTTATTCATAAAGATCTTTGCGGTACACACTTAAACCACCGTCCTGACATTCTCACGTGAAAAGTGCTGCATCGGACACATGACATACACACACAGATTTGCCTTGTGATTACTGGGCATGTGCAGTTTTTTAAAGCCTGAATACAACACTGTCAGGGGAACACATTGTAATGACTTAAAAATAGACAAGCGGTGGTATGAAGCCCTGTGAAGACACACATATAAATGACATTCAGTCATGAGGGCTAACAGACTTGCGCACAAAGCAATGATTTTTTTTTCTTCTTCTTCTTCACAGTCCTAACTTTAAAACATGAAAGTACATAACAACAAAAGTGTCTGTTAATCCGTGTCCTGCAGTCTATTTGCCTAAAACATGTTTTTCTCTCAGCCCAGCTTCTTACGACCGACCTAAGAGCAGAAAGTGCACACCAGGAAAAAAAAAAAAACAACCCATCATTGGTCCATCCTTCTTTCATCATTAAAACATGAGGGAGGTAACGATGAGGGGGAGGGAGGTTCACGACAGTAATTCACGGGTCTCTCCACAACTTAATTTTCATTTATGTACAGTACATTCAGAATAAAGCCTTATTTAGTGCAGATACATGAAAATGTAGTGCTGATTCTGTTGAAACCATCTTCGCAAAAACACTGTCATACGTACAATAGTACAGCACGCGGCTCTTCAGTTTTATTTACACACTCAGGTGACTCTTTGAGACGTCACATATTCAGCTCTCACTCTGCATTTACACTTTTAAAAATCTTATCTGTCTTACAATGCTTTAAATTCTGGACAATTAAAAGGTGACGCACTGCCTTTGCCACTTAGTGTATGTATGTTCGGGGCAGAACAGGGAGATTTTATTTTTTTTATTTTTTTTTATTCCAAAGCCCCAGTTGAACCTTCTGCTACAATTCACTCAAAAAGTAGAAAGAAATGATGTGGCCATGATTTGTTTTGAACAGAGAATATATGCATGCACTGAAGCCAGAAAGATGAGCATAAAAATGATATAAAAGTAAAGGATCGTGGCACTATTCCCGAATGTTAATGATCCGTTGTTTACTGTGTATTAATGTGAAAGCTACCCTACATAAACCTTGGTGGAGCAGCCGCCACGGTACAAGCTCTGCTTCCTTTTAGAGGTCGACTACATTCTTCCAAACCTTAAAGATTGCAAAAAAGGTGCTCATGATTGTATATTAACGAGACAACTTAACTGAACCCCCAAAACAAAATGAACTGACGACACACATTGAACCCATACGGTTTTGTCCTCTGCATCCCTTCATTCAATCTGCTCGAAGTTGAGCACGTGGCCGTCAAAGTGCGTGAGGACGTGCCTCTCGAAGAGCTGCTGCTGGCAGTTGAGGGGGAACTGCTCGGAGCAGACGGGGCAAACCTTCCAGTGGCTCTCCACGTGCTGCTCGAAGCTGCGCTGCTCAAAGTGCGGCGGGAAGATCACCTCGCATAGCGGGCAGCGTTTGTGGACGTCGGTACTGGAGAGGAGAACAAAAGGAGTAGGGTGGGGGGGGGAAGTGGTGGGCGTGAGGGAGAGATAAAAAAAAAAAAAGATGCGTGAGTTTCTGAGTGGTTCGTATCATGAAGCGATGACTTACCTGTTAATATGATGTCCGACCCTGGCTGGCGCAGAAAAACGACACATATCTCACAGTTTTATAGTTTTTCCTCAACACAAAGTATCTCAGCAGCAAGACTGAAAACTGGCGGGCCTCGGTTTCAGCCCTGAACTCCACTGTCCACTTTTTTTTTTGCGACATTCAACACAAGCATTACTTAATACAGTATATAAAAATGCAGAGTTTTTTTGGCTTGACCGTGAGGAACACGTGTTGCAAAATCAATTGCCCGACAACACTGTTCTCCACGGTTATGAAGTTAAAATCGACGGTGCTTTGACTTTCCAACGGGCCAGGCTTCAGACCACAATGTAGCTAATGAAAGCCAGAGATTTCTGCCTTTTGAAAAAAACAGCTGTTGAGTCACCAGCATGAAGCAACTGCATCACCTCCCGCATAGTTATTACTGGCGTTTTGTGCCTGGGGTAGAAACCTGATAAATCATGTTGCCCTCAAGTGATCTTCAGCGTTTAGAAGTTATACGGCTCTAAATGTATGTAATTTAGGATGTTATATGCATCGTGCTGTATACGTGGAGATAAAAGTGAGCCAGCAGAGGTACAGGTAAAAAGAGCTTCTTCTTCTCTCTGACAGACAGATAATTGCAGCTATTTTGATCATCTTAAATCATTTTTCAAGCAAAAGCAATTTCACGGCTTCTCAAATGTGACAATTTGCGGACACATTAGCCGTGTTTCCGTAAAACTGTCAAACTTGTTGAAATGTTGCAAAAAAATACGGAAACAGAAAAGAAAATGTGAACTAGATTTGTTTCCATTAACTGTTTTGGAGATAATAAACGAGGCGGTGTAGTTTTGTCAGAAGATGGTGGTATATGCTATATGCTGCTATGTACCGCTGTAACCCTGCAGTTTGCCAACTGCTAAAAAAAACAAAACAAAACTTTGGTTGTCCACAAGAGGTGGTTTGGAGGGGCCGTAGGCACAGAATGTCAGTCTGTCAGTCTGCCCCAGGGCAGCTGTGGCTACAATCGTAGCTCCCACCACCAGAATGAATGTGTGTGAATGAGTAATTGACAGTGTAAAGCGTCTTTGAGTGTCCAGAAAAGCGCTATATAAATCTGATCAGTTATTATTGTTATTATTATTATTATTATTATTATTATTAAGAGAAAAATGCAGAGACGTCTTCAGGTATTGTGCTCGACCAGGCAAGTTGCAGTTATTCTTTCATGTCATCTGGTATTAAACATTTAGTCATGCTGTCCAGAGGCGATTATAGAAGCACAAACAGCATCATGTGAGTTAAATGTTAGCTACATCAGAGCTTATTTTAAAAAACGGTGTTTCCATCACCCATTGAAGAAGTCACAAACTAACACTAAGCTTCAAAAAGTTTTTGCAAACCTGGAGACTTCATTCAAACTTCAAAAATGCACTGAAAGAAATGATGATCAATATTCTTTTTTTTGTAATTGTTCCATTCTATAATAACATTGCAGCATGTTGTAATTCTACTGGTCTGACAGTACACTAGATTGTTTTCAGGCTTTAGTTTAAATGTGTTTGTTTTCTTCCTATTCTTTTCCAGATTTCTGCTCCCACTGCTGTTATGATCATTAACAGCAAGTGACTAATGGGTTAACTCAGTCAGATAATTTGCAAATTATGTAAATGCTAATTAGTTGCCGCCCTACATATGATTATGAAAACAGACACCTACCCACTGTATGGAGTTGGCTAGTCCTTCTATATTACCTTTGTTTAAGGTGACTGATACATGGAAAAGGAATCCTCCACCCCCACTATTTGGTTTCTACTGATGTTCTTGTGTTTTCTTTCTTTAGCTCTTTATATGTCAAGCTATTCTTACAATTATTCTTTATGCTTGTGAGTAGGTGTGCTACCTGGAGTCAAAGCAGAAGCTGCTCCGCGCTTCACTGCGTCTATTGGACTGATGGTCACAGGATGGCTGAGCCCCATCAACCACCTTTAACACACAACGTAAAAGGAATGAAAACTAAGGCTGATTACAGGGCAGTATGCATTCATATACACCATCCCTAAAGGCAGTCAATTGCAAAAAAAAAAAAAAAAAAAAGAGGGGAGATGGGTTGAAAGAGCCATGAAATAGCTGAACTGACAGAAGGTACAGTTTGTGCAACTACTGTATGTAACTAACATACAGTAAACTTCCACCAGTTTCTGTTCAGTTTGCACCCAAACAACCAAAAGATATAATCCGACAGTCACGAACTGATCTTAGGTCTCCCCTAATTACTCTCCCCCAGCTCTCGTTATTTTCATCTCTCTTGAGCTCTGAAGGAGTGACATTAATTAGAGCTTTATGCAAATGAGTTTCCAAGCTTCGTCTTTTAAGGGCAAGCTGTATTTCCCTCCATTCAGTTACGGAGGAGCACTCCAGAGAATGAGACAGAGAGAGGCCGAGTAAATGAGGGATTATCAAGGCAGGAATTCATTGGCTGCAAAACACAAAGGCGACAGGAAAGCAAAGACTAGGACCACAATTAGCATGTCACGCATTTATGCTGCTCGCTGTGATCAATTATGTTCTTGTAGCTCACTGACAGAAAAATAATAGATTTATTCATATATGCGTTATTAATGCATAGACTATAGTATATTATTTAATATGGATGCAAAATTCCAATTACAAACATCATACCAGCATGTTTTTTAGTTAGGAGGCAGTGTTCCCCTTTTGCTTTGTGTGTGTGCTTACATTTTGCGGCTCCTCCGGCGGATGCTCGAGGCTCTCGGGAGGACTTGTGCTGCGGGAGGGTTGTATGCAGACCACCTCTCGATCGCAGCCCGGTGCTCCGGGACTGGGTCTGGTGGGTGTGATCGGGGGCGCGCAGGGATGAGCGCAGGACGGAGCCTCAGGTGGAGGACGGGGCATGTGCTCAGGAGACAGCGCGACATCCACCCGATCTATAAAAACAGCAAAGATTTATTGTTTAAACTGGCAGGAAAATATAAGTAAGGGAATACAGACAGGAGCAGAGGAGCGGTGTGTGAAAGAACGATTTTATCCCTCCCACCTCTCGTGGTGTCGGTGGAGTAGGGGTTGCCGTACTGCAGCTCAGCAGGCCTCTGTGGCACCAGCGGAGGAGGGGAAGGGTCCTGGGGGTAGGGCAGGGGGTAGCGCAGCACCATCGGCTGCCTCACCTCGGCGCCCTGAACTCCAGTCTCCTGCTCCCTCTGCCTGGACACGTAACGCTGCAGCTCCTGGAGAAGAGAAGGGAGATCCATACCTGAGAGCTGCAGCTAAACCACAGCACTGATGAAGCAGCTAAACGTACCACCTTTTAAATACCTGCTATGGCCTACATGCACTATGTCATGATCCTGCACACATGCTTTCATATTCATATCAATTCTGTTTTGTGTCTACATTTTTAACAGTGTTGTGTGTATATGCTGACCTTTAATCTTTCTCCACATGCATGCCATGCTTTTCTTTACCAACATCCTAAATGTGTAAACCCTATATAAACAGGACCAACGTTATGACCAGTTTTAGAAGTAAAACAGTCAACATTTCCAGAGCACATTCTCACTGCCGCAACCACAAGGTGAGTAAGTACTTTCGGCTCTTGAGTTAAGTTTCCCACTACACTGTTTCTGCCCTTTGTGATTATATCTGAAGCAAGAGCATTAGTACCCTACTCATTACTGTAATGGGTGTCAGACTCTGGCTCCCTCTGCTCTAGCTTTGCTGATAGAGGCACTCACCCTCTCCCATTTTGTTCCTCCTTCCTTCCTCTCCCTTTTCCTCCCTGACCTCCTCTCTTGATGACTTCATTAGTGCGCTGCTATCAGGTTTAACATTTAAACCAGGGTTGGGAAGGTGAAACAGACACGTTGTGTGGCATTTGCACTGTCTAATGGCACTGTACCGATGGGCGAAAGAAGCAAGTATAGATGTATTAATTAGTGGGTAGTGAGGAGTGTTGAGTAGGGAAGAAAAAGCTACAGAGAGAGCTCACACACTGCACTTTAACTGCATATAATTGAAAGTGATGACATTGCTATGGACTTGATTTGAGAGTCTACATTGTCTCTGGATGTGATTTTGACTGTCAGTTCGATCTATGTTGAGAAAGACATTTCTACAGTTTCGAAACTAAAACTAAAGAGACAGTTCAGGGATGGCTCATTTATACAAAACTGATATCACAGTGTTGTACTGGAAATAATGTAACAGAGCAGTGAAGAGTGGGTCTGCTTTACCTCCTGCAGCTGCTCTTTGTCTCTCAGAGCCTGGGCGAGGTTGCGTTTCAGTTCGGTCACCTCGCTGGCTCGCTCTGCCATCTGCACCTAGAGACAGGACACACAACAATGATAAGAAAAAAAACAAAAAAAACAGCAACATCAAGGCACAGTTCATAATATTGTACCGCTAAATTATTGTATCCACATTAATATCCAATGACACTTATTTTAAAAAAATGTTTAAAAAGTGTCTGCTAGGGAAACTAAACTCCAACTTGAATTTCATTCCTCTTCTGTGTCACCCCTAATTTCCTGTCATCTTTAGACTGTCAGCTATCTAACAAAGGTATAAAATGACTCTGAATATGTCAAACTGTTTGATTAGAGATGATGAAGGATGGTCTCAAGAAGATTATGATTTAAGATGAATCATGCTACTTTACTTGCATATAAAAAAGGAAAGAGACACAATCATTTGTTGTACTGGAGCTCCTCAACACTTCCCAATAGTATAAAGGTTAAAGGCAGAGGTTGGATAATGAAATAACTAGAGATGGACAAAAATACATTTTCACAATTCATTAGTTTACCAGTCTCCATATTAACCCTCTGAACCTCAAGCAGTTTCTTGGTGTTTATTTCTCTTGTCACATTTTTTCCAAACGGGTGTAAACAAGTTATAATAATACAAATCATACAAAAGAAAAATCTAAGCTGATTTTTAAAAATTATTTATTTCACAGAAACTGTGAAAAAAAGTGTCCATAGATACTATCAATACTGGACAACAACAGTTCACTACTTAGATTATAAATTGTTTGCATACCTGTCTCCTATCTCCTATGTGTAAACACAGCCTGCCGTTCAGCCCAGTCCTGCCAAATAGTCCCTGCAATTTTGTCATGGGACTTAGTCACAGCTGAGTTGGGTTGTCAATTGTTTTTTTTTTGTTTTGTTTTGTTTTTACCAAATCTGGTCAGAGCAAGCTGCTTATTTTTAACTACATTTTAAATAAGATGTAGAAAACACTGATTTTGATTAAACATCCAGATTTTAACCTTAGACTTGGATAATATTCCCAATGGAGCAATACATAACACACGATTAGTTCAGTCAGAAAGCTGCTGCTGCAGTTTGTGGCTTCTCAATAGATGGAGACAAGAAATTCAATTTACAACCACATAGGACAAACCTGAACCTTGTGGCATTTTAGCTTGAACACAATATGATTGATCGATCAATAATCACAAAAGGTGTCAGTTTATTTTCTGATCATTAACTAACTGACTAATTAATGGTTTCCAAAAAAAACCTAACTGAAATGACAGATTCACCCAGAGCTGATGGAAAGGACACATCGTATCTGGCAGGTTAGAACTTCTGTCTTTTTTCTTGCTTTCAATTTGTGTCAGCTGATGAAGAAGAATATCAGTATGCACACACACACAATATTTACTTTGTATTTAACCCGGTGCAGCATCAGATGTGTGGTGCTTACTGTAAACCACATAACCAAAACCAAAGTAACGAGCTCTGTGTGCAGGGTAAGCTGAAGCGGACCAGGGGATCGTAATAAATCTCTTACTCTCTAACAGAGCTGACCCTGTGGGATAGTTTACATGGCTAGTTGCCTGCTCCTCTCTCATTTCACCTTATTTCAAAGGTTCCAAATCCCCTCCTCTCCTGTGGTTTCTCTTTCTGCTTCGTGTCTACCTGTCTATACTAATGTTTTCACTCTTAAATTTACTTCCCTTCTTTTGCTCCCCCCCCTCATTCTCTTTCATCTCCTTTTGTCCTCTCTCACCCTCCCCTTTCGCTGATAAATTTACGGCGCAGCATTAGAGGGTTAAGTTCAGGTGAAGGGAGTCTGCGGCAGCGTATTTCTGTGCCCTCCATCCCCTCCCGCTTCTGTCTCTCAGCATCTATTCCTCTCCCTCTCTCCATCCTCTGGGTGGCTGATGTAAACAGCCGTAAAGCATGGAGTTCTGCGGCTCCCTCTCTTGTCAGTCTCCGGGGCCATTAAGAGCAGCTCGGGGCCCAGGGCACTCGCCTCAGACAGGAGACTCTATCAAAGTCGAGGGAGAGCTGTATTTACAGCGCCGATAAACACACACTCACTCATGGAGATTAAATGCCAGTAGGTGCTTTGGCAGACGTTTGCACGCAAAACGCGAGTGCACCATTGAATCACGCACACATACCACACACGTTGGCTCATCTGTGGCACGAATGCGATGCCTCCGGTCGAGATCGAAAGTATCTGGACAGTCACACATTACTTGTTCTTCAGGTTCTGTGGTTCAGCACATTCTAGTTTAAATAAATCATGGGTACTACTATGAAAGTGCCAGGTCTCAGTTTGTGTCAATACAGAAAAAAAAAAAAGAGTGTGAATGAGTGATATAACCCTGTGAGCATGCAGTGATTAAATTGCAAAAGTAATTGGACATTTGGCTGTGTCATGCAGGGCTTCTGCAGAAACCAGCCAATCAAATGTAATGCTTTTTAATGCCATTTTAATGCTAGGCTATACCAGGACATTTGCACAGAATCAAAATGTAGACATCGTGGAGTAAAGCGGGAGTTGAGAACCAAATTAAATGCTTTTCAATGCTATGTAAAGCCTTAATTGTCGCTAAATTTAATGACTATTATGCTTTTTAATGCCCCTGTCATGTTTCTTTGGCAGCTGTGTAATTTCAGTGTTACTTATTGCACCATGTGTGGCTCAGAGTTGATTGAGAGTAAGGAGAGTTGTCCACGCTGAAGAGATCGTGCATGTGCAGGTCTACCAATTAACGGTGATCGAATACAATTTCTAAAAAAAAGCAGGCGTCTACGGGAAAACCACACAATGTCAAGGAAGCAGGTGGATTGAGGAGCACAAGATGTTTCCATGCTTCCTTTTCAACAATTTAGATAAAACTTCATGACAACAACTCAGAGGATTCACCACCACACACAAGCCTTTGGTAAGTCTTAGAAACAGAGAGGCATTGTTGCAGTTTGGGAAAGCACATAAAACAAATCAGTAGAGTTCTGGGCCAAAGTTCTTTGGACTGATGGGAATAAAAATCAGCATTTAACACAATGATAGAAATTGTGGAGAGAAAAAAGAAACTACTTCAACTCTTGACCCAGAGCTTACCACATAATTTGTCAAACATGGTGGTGGTGCTGTGGCGAGAGCATGCCAAAATTCACTGGGGTGAAATATCTTTGACTGTCCAAATCTATCACTTGAGCTCACTTGCAGTGCAGAGTGCAACATGGTAATGTGAACCTATCTAATAGAGCTGCATTTCACTTGCGAGACCCCACAACGAGGGAGATCTGAACACAGTGAAGGTCTGGGAGTGCAGTGCAGGTAGTCAGTGGCATTAAATGATCTCCCATTCTTTCTATATTGAGAAATGGCACTTGTGTTTAAGTGCAGAGCCTGAAAAACAAAAAAAATACGGGAATACACTTGTGACCGGGATAAATTGTTGAAAAAAATCATAGTCCTCCAGCTAAAGGAAATGCATTTATTCAAGTACTGCTACTAGCTATGCTCTCCCTCGTTGACTTTACTGTTTAAGAAGTTTACCGAGACAACTTAAAATATATTTGCTGGTTCTAACCCCTTTAATGTGGGGATTTGCTGGTTTCTCCTGTTCTATAATATTGTAAATGGAATATTGTCAGTTGCTGCACTCGTGACAAGGAACATAACCTATTCAAAGACGTCAGCTTGGGTTCTGGGTATTTAAAATTACCATTTAAATTTTTTTCGTGGCATTTTACGGATTACATGACCAAATAGAAAATGGCTAATCAATAAAATAGCTAAATCCCTAAGGTCACAAATCAGGTCCAGAGACTGGATTTTTTTGTGTACGTGAAAACAACCATGATAGAAAATATGCAAAGCAAATGGAAATAGGAGCTACAGAAGAATCTGATGCATTAAAAATGGATATTGTGGAACAGAACCACACTGGAGCATGTGTATTTAAACTTATATTTAAAAAGCAGTTTGCACTGGGGGAATATTCTGCTCATGGGCATGTACACAAGCACTGAGTGTTAGGAGAGCGATGATCCCTCATATTATTGGGCATCCTCACAGTCATAACTGTCTCAGCTTTAAGAAATCTCGAGTTGATGTTTGTGTGTAAGTTTGCGTCTTACTCTGAATCGCTCCTCCTCATCGGCCAGCCGCTGTTTGAGAGTCTCGTTGATTGCACACTGCTCCCTCCATTTCTCCTCCATCATCGCCAGCTCCTCCTCCACCGAGCGAGTCTGTTCCTGCTCTGCCTCCTCCACGCTCCTCCCCTCCACCTCCAGCAGCCCCTGCTCCTCCACGCCATCCCCGGCTCCCTCTGCCTTCGGTGCCCTTTCCACATCGCTGTTCTCCTCAGCGCTCAGCCTCTCGTTCTCCACCTCCACCCAGCTCGTCATCCTCAGGCTCTCCTCCGGCAGGCTCTCCTTCTTCTCCTCTTTTTCATTTTCCTTGTTTTCGCTGGCTTCCTTTCGTTTCACTTGCCTCTCAGTCTCCACCTGAGCTCTCTCCCTCAGTGTGTTCTCCGTCTGTCTTTCCTCCTTCTCTGTGCTGATGTGTTTGTCAGCATATGTGGGTCGCTTGTTATTGAGTTCTGGGGTGATTGTCATCTCCGCGGCTTCTTGTAGGACTGCAGCAGCTATATTTCCTGTAAAAACACACAAAGTTAGGGGAACGGACACTCCCCCTTTTGCTTCAGATACAGGTTAATTACACATAAATTAATGCAATATGTTTAAATTTAAAGATGATAAGTAAAAATTGGAGAAAAAAAACATGACTATGAAAGTGAGAGTCACATCTTTACGTGACGAGACTTCAGAGGTTGTTCCATTAAAATGTCACCAATCATTGATTGGTGGTTGGCGGTTTTATCACATGGATGCAAACAGACTCATTTCTTTCTTCTGTTACTGATTTTGTGCATTTCCAGGAATTCTTTTCTTTACCACAGAATGTGCATCAACTCGCTTATTTACGAGAAATAGTAAGTGCAAAAAAAGACACTGAAAAAATGTCAAGTCTAGAAACAGTGAGTCACACCACTTACTGTAAAATCATTTATTAGCAATGCATTGTGACCAACTGAGGACATCGTCAGTGGATAATCGTGTCTTTCATGCTTCAATAATGCGTTTCTCTAAGACATCTGCAAACACTTCATCAGTCATACAGCTTTTTTTTTTTTTTAAACTAGTCTAAGTGTTTTAGAATTACTATGTTCCGAACCAAAAGAAATTTGTGACTCTGGGGATTTTTTGGGGAAAAAATGTGTTTTTTTATACCTAAAAATATAGCAACATGCATTCATACTTTTGCACTTAAATATGTGTGTACCTGCTGTAGGAGACTCTGGACTGGGGGTCAGTGGCTCCAGTGTCGTCTCAGTGGATGCATTTCTCTTTGGCTCCTGCAATGAAACACAAATATCAACAAAGATATCAACAAAATGTAATTCCTACTGTTGTCCTACACATATTTACCTGTATGTAATATTTCTATTCAGCCGTGTCTTTTTACAAGTTTCACCGCACAGTACTCACCCCCTGTGACTCGGTTGTGTTCAGTTTGGCAACCTGTCTCCGGAGGCGCTGACACTCCCGGTACTTCTCCTTATAATGCTCAGCGGCCATGTGAAGCCGCAGCTTCAGCTCCTCCACCTCCCTCTGCAGCTCGGCCTCTGCCTCCGACACCACCATCATGCTGGGTGTCAGATCCCCACTGGTCCCAACACCCTGAAATAGAGGGACAAAAAGACAAAAAAAACATGAAAAACAATGTGAATTTGTATCGGTGTCAGCAATATATATCAGTAACGCAACCAAAAACAACTTTTAAGAAATACTTTAACCACAAGACATCTGCTCTTTGTTCAACTCAAACATCTGGGTAAAACACAATCTCTTTACAACAATGTGCACTCTCCCTCACTCTCATATGAAATGCTGCAATGTAAATCAAACTGAAAAGCGTGAAAGTTCTCTCAGGAAAATTCTTTTTTTATGTTTAGCTAATGAATTCCCACAGTGCCGGCTGAAGGATGGAGATTAATGTTAAGGAACTCGAAAACTGACCACTTCCTTCTGTGCGGTGCTTCTCATGCGGTCAAGCTGGCTCTCCATGCGTTGGCACTCTGCCTGAGCATCAGCTAGACTGGCGCGGAGCTTGTCAGCCTCCACACGTGCACGGTACAGCTCAGTCATCGTGTGGTCTCGGGCGCTGGCTGAATCACGGAGCTCCGAAGCCAGCAGGGAGGCCTGCTGCCTGGACGCCTGAAGCTGCTCCTCAGCTTGACGGAGCTGCTCACGTACACGGGCCAGCTCTGCCTAAAGACATGAGGAGTAACTGATTATATTAATCCGACATATGCATATAGGTACAATGAACATGTATTACGCATTGACCTCTTGTGTTCAGCGATATGACAGACATCTGCTACTACCTTGTCAGCTTTGTGAGCCAGCAGCTCTTTCTCCAGACTATCTCGCTGGGCAACGCAGACCCTGAGCCTGTCCAGCTCCTCCTGGAATTGAGCGATGGTCACCTCTCGGTTCAGCTCCACAGCCTTCAACATCTGCAGCTCTGCACTCAGCTTAGTGTTCTCCAGCTCTGTGCTGCGCAGGTGGGCCTACACATGTGAGAAAATAAGAGGAACAGAACACGTCAAGTCGGACTGTAAACGGAAACGCACAGGCTTTGTTGGAGAAAAAAAAGTCAGTCTTCTGATGCATAAAGCTTTCATTCACCTTATAGAGATCTCTCTCGTCCTTCTCATTCTTCAGCTGGCTCTCTAGACTGTCTCTCTCTGCCGTCAGCTTCTTCAAACGGTCACGCAGACTGAAACATTAAATATTGAAAGTAAGTATTCTAGTGTCTTCAGCATCATTATATTACAAATTCTCAAGACATTCAAGCAAGGCATTGAAGATGGACCAGGACTCATCTTGTGTCAGCTGTCACAAGGAAGAATGTCTTTTTAGTTACTTTTAAAACTTAAACAGGTCCTGCTGTTGGTATCATGTGTGTGTGCAAAGTCTGGAACTATAACCTGTGTGCCAGTAAAATGTATGAAAGCTAAGTTGACAAAATTTCCTATGCATGCAATCATATTCTACTCATAGTTTAAATTTGTGAGACTGGTGTTAAGCTTGTACCGTGTCAAAAAGGATCTGATTCTACTTAATCATTAGTTTAAGATGAGTTAAAAGATAAAGATGCCAAGGAAACAGGGGACAGGCCAGAAATCTCCCTTAAACACACACATTTAAACCGTCATGTCTCCATGAAATGGGTGATTGATGGTAACGTGTTAGCATTCTCCGCTCACCAATCCAGTTCGGTCTCCTTTTGCAGGCCTCTCTGAGTGACTCCCAGGAGGTCCTCCTCCAGCTGGCGGACCCGGTCCGTGGCCTCTGTCAGCCTCCTCCTTACCTCCTCCCTCTCTTCTGACAGGCCCTGCGATGAGCGCAGCAGCTCCTGTGGGACGGAGAGGCAGCTGTGGATCACACTGACAGGCGCGAGAGCCAATCGCGTCGGCTGAATCAGCAGGCTGAACTTGGCAGTGGGGAATAAGTGCTGGAGTAATTTCGGAGATTATGCAATTCTCATGATTAATAACAGATGATAATATTTCATGTGAGGCTGAACTGTCCTGTGCATATACTGCATGCACTGCTATATATATGCTTTACATGCTCAATTTAACTTACATGCACACATTACCATAAACGAACATTTCTCCAGCCCACATATTGTGGGCTTTGTAGCCGCGGGGCTACATCCACACTAAATACCCAAGGAGTTTTCACATGCCATCTTGGCTGTTTCTATTCACCCCCGCCCACTCCTGTCCACTAACCCTCCAGCCGTGTGTGACGCCATCCACTCTGGGGCTCCACACTGTGCATCCAAGTGCTTCCTTGTGTGTCTTATATTGTATTGTATTTCTTGTGTTGTTTTGCAACTTACACAATGCAGCTGTTACAAAACTATTTCTCTCCAGAGGTTATTAAAGGGCTTTTCAGTTGCATTCTGATTCTTATTTTAAACACTTAAAAGACTAGAGCAGTCCCTTATAACCCCACCAAACCTGTTTTCTTAAAGGTTCAGTTTCTACAGAAAAAACTGCTTTACTAGATCAATAATTTTTGCATCTCTCTATACGCACACATAAGACATTGTAATTAATTTATCCTAAGTAGCTTTTGAAAATTGTAGTCAATTATTTTTTTTTCTGTTTCCAACCTCTGCAATATATTTCTAGTATATATTGTAGTTGTAATATATGAATTTCCCCTCTGGGTATCTGTAAAGTCTTATCTTATTAGTCACAAATCACCAGTTACAAATTACAGCTTTTGACGGACGTAAATCACACTTTCAGTATTTGAAGTTAATGAAATGTTAGAGAGCCTAAACTAAGCAAACAGTAGCACTGTGTGGTACATGCATGCAGGAATAACCTGTCCGTGAATTCCTTAAAACAAACCCCTGTTATCAGATGGCAGATCACATAAGGTCTGTGTTCTCCATGTGCGCCTGCTGAGGAAATGCCTTGTTTAAACTTGCTGCTAATCAGCAGTGAAAGACATTAAATCATCCACTGCTAATATTGGTTGTGACAGAACAACATACCTCTGCACACACCCTTCTTTCTATTTGTAGCACCAGCACAAACATACCCCCTTTCTCTTTCACCCACATGGGAAAAGAAAGACAGACACAGAGCTACACATTCAAGGACAAACTGTGACAGACAGCACAGAGCACAGCCATCAATCCAACACAGACTCAGTGAACATGCACACACACCAATACGAACTAAGGCCTGTCTCCCTCTGGGCTTAGCTGTGCTTAGATTACTGTATGATTTTTACGGCTGGCGTTTGGGAAGCACTTTAGCAGTGCATAAAGACCTTATAAAAAGCGTAGTCATAAAATTAGCAGCCACAAAATATGTACTTATGTTTTTATGTTAAACTCAAAGGATATTTTCATCAGAGTGCCATGAACTAACGCACCTTCAGTAAATGCTTTTCAAAAGACACACACACACCTACTCACACAAGTCGTATATCTACAGATGGACATGCCTGTTGAATGAAAAGCAGCATGGTAATAACAGTGTGTGTGTGTATTACCACTTAATTTATGGCAATTTTGTCCTTCGTAAAAAAGAGCAGCGGACTAACTCAAAGCAGCCTCCTCTCACCGTGGAACTACACCAGACACCTGCACTAGGGGGCGATAAGAGACTAGCTTGAAACTCACAAAACTCTTGGCAGGTTTCAGTGTTGCACTGCTCTCTGCCAACTCCCCTCCCCTACATTGATTGAGCTTCCATGAGTTGGCTGCTTTTAGGCGTTTGTGCTTATCATATGAGCAAATCATAGAACAGAAACATCTGACTCATCCTAGTGAGTGAGTGAATGGAGAAGGTATGAGGAAAAAGAAGGTTTACTCATTTTTCTTACTTAATTTAGATAGAAGTCTTGAAACGTATTTTCCAATTCTGGATTAACGATTTGTTTTCTTGTCGTTCTAATAAAGTAACTCTGAACATTTGGGGGGGAAAAAAAAGAGCAAGAGAACAGACAGAGAGAAAATAGGCAGTGAGAAAGCAGTGGCCACTGAATCGCGTGACTGAGTGGTGTTTGTCCCTGAGGCTGGGCAGGGCTTTTTTTTTTTCAGACAGGCGGTTTTTGCGGACTACCCTCCTCTCATTCCACACACAGACTAAAAGGGTTTGCAAGCGGGTGGCATAATGAGTGTGTTTGTGTTTGTGCGCGCTTGTGCATGTGTGAACGCACATTAGAGGGGCCCTGTGGTGTAGAACCTGAATGCAAGTGTGACAGTGAAGGAAGAAGGGGGGGGACAGTTTGTGCATGTGTACGAGCGTGTGTGTGTGTTTGTGTGTTTGACGTCATGTTTGTTCACTCTGTGGTTGCGATGGCATCGTCCCTGACGCCAGATGCCCAAGAAAACTGCGTCCCAATTCCGTTCTGGCCCACTGAGTCAGGTCGTTAAAGAGCGAGAGAAAGACTGGGGTGCACACACACATACACTAACACACACGTACGCACACACACAGACTGCAACTCTTTGTGTGTCTTTCAAACGTGGACAGAGATTATTCATAAATTCAGGCCTTTGAAGTTTTCAGACCTATGATCAGTGGTGAGGAACCGGCTCCACACACATGTGCAAATAGCGGCTGTCTGTCCATGTAGACACTCACCTCTACACGTGTACACACTCACATGGTTAAGTACACAAACACACTAAAACTGTCTCGCCTTCAATCTCAATGCTGTCCAGATACATTTTGATTAGAAACACTAACAATTTCTATAAGCATGTACAGACACTTAAACTTTATTAAGTGTTCCTTTTGTTACCATTAATAATGTGTACGTTGTGTGCAGATAAAAATCTGAATTTCCCCTCCTAAGTATCCGTTCTTCCCATCGCTCCACCTCACCCCCCCTCTCTAACCTGGTTATGTGTCCTCAACAGGCAGCATGTCTCCCTCTCCTGCTCCCTTTCCCTGGCCAGTCGTTTCTGCTCCTCCTGCAGCTGTTGTTTCTCCTCCTGCAGGAGACGCATGGCCTTCAGCAGTTCCCTGCGCTCCTGCTGTGCCTCCTCCACGCGCTATGGGAAAGTTAGGAAGGATGGGAGGAGAAAAAAAAAAAAGATTAAAATGACACCTGCTCCTTTAAGCTTTTGGTGTTAAATATCACCTAGTTTGATCATTTTTATCCTCCTGATTGGGCCAGTCAGCATCAAGAGATGAGAAAAATCAGGCATTATTCACCTGACTTGTATACAAAATAAAATACCAGTTGTATGATATATTGTGTGTCTTGTCAATCATTGCCTAGACAATGTGATACATTAATAAAGCCAAAATGGGAATCTGTTTCTTGTACTCTGTGAGGTCAAGTGATGACTGTCAGGAACACTGTAGGCCCCTGTACTGCGGGGTCAAAACCAGAAGGATGGAAAACAGAATAAAATACACAAAAATCTTAATCTGCCGTATTCTACCTCTAGCAGGCCAGTCTTGGTGGTGACAACCAGTATGTCTGAGTTGCTGTCGTCCTCTGTAACAGTCAGCAGCTCTTCGGTGGGTGTGGCTGACCTGAACTGGAAGGGCGTACTGGCTCCTCTGATATCACCAGCATGAGTGACATAACAGAACTGGTAGAACTCTCCGTCAGACTTGGGAACATAGTATCCTACAATGCAAAGACATGACAAGGAATGTGTTAATTCTTTTGTTTTTCCATTTACTTTAATATGAATGTCATCAACTTGCATCCTGTTTCAGTTAATCTGGTAGTATTTAAAGTGGGCCTGGTAATAAATTTCCTAAAATGCCTACATCTACAATATCTCCCTTCAAAATTGACAAAAGTTACTCCACTGAGAAAAGTAGTGAGCATTGCCCCTTTCACACAGCATAGTAACGAGAAAAATGATCAGAAAACACGACGTATTTTGTTAAATAGTTAATAATTTATGCTGTGTATGCTAGTTTCAAACAGCCCACAGTCGTACTCCGAGATCAAGCCGCAGCACATTATTGAAGTGTTGGGCCTGGTTCTCTGGGACAGAGGGATTAAGTAAGGAATATCCAGCAGCCAGCTGATTTTACTGACTCCTGACACACCACAGCACGCTCTCATATTTTCACTGTGTAATATCTGACCGTTCCAGACCCAGTAAAACCAGTTTGCAGGCCCTCAACGTGTGTGAGTGTGTGTGTGTATGTGTGTGGTTTGAGAGGTGCTCAGGTCCCAGGCCTCCGTTTGCGGTTGTGTTCCCTTATTAAATAAAAGTGCTGGTTTTTATATGCACCGTAAAATGGAGGAGTTACTTTGGAATACCCTGGGTCTGTATAGTGGTTTACTTAGTGTGTGTGTGAGTGTGTGAGTGTGTGTGTGTACCTTGAAATACCACAGTCCTGTGCACAGTACTTCCTGGTTCATAGTTTTCAGGCATAGGAGACCACAGGAAAGTGTAGTAGTCCCTGGCTGTGCTCCAACCCACCTGAGGAAACATTGCAAACAAAGGTTAACACACACAATAGAACCTCGCTAAAAACAAACTGTGTCCGAGGGGATGATGTGAGATGTATTGCTCTATGCATTATGCTGAAAAATATCAAATATCAACCATATTTTGCATTAATATATATGTTAACATAACAGGCAGATCACATTTTTATAATTCTTTAAGAGTCACATTTCCTGAAAACACATTTGACAGGAGGATTGGAGGATTACATACAATGTTTGAGGCAAGAATGGAAACATTTAAAACCATGGCCCCCTAATTCCTCCACACACCTCCTCCTTCTTGCCTTCCCCTCAGTTCCTGCTCCTTTTGGACTCACTAAAAAGAGGGGCAGTGAAGGTGTGAGAATAGGGCGGGAGGACAGGGGTGTACTTTGGATGCACACATGCGCAGACTCGTGAGACTGCAGAAAAAGGCCCTTGTCGAAATGAGAAAAACGGGGGGAGGGAAGCAAGCGTAAGGAGGGGGGGGGAAGGTGAAAATTTTACACAAAATGGCAAGGGAAGCGTAATTCCCTGGATTTCATGTGTTGTTAGGTGACAGATGATGAAAGGGCGTTGTGAACATCATAACTCAGGTCCTGCGTCATAAATCTGTCATGTCCAACCGCACACTCTCCCTGTTTGGGCCGCTCACGCACACACATACCTCGTTTCAACCCACACGTGTGATACATGTTTGTCACATTACATAACTACACTTCAGCTGTGGATACTTCAACCACCTGTGGTACTTTGGGACATTTTTACATTTCAAAAAAAGATGAAGAATGAGCAGTTCAAGACAAAATATATCTTTTGGACAGCTGCCATATAGCAATCACATAAGATTACAATTAGGCTTGTGACTGATTATCCTATGCATTAAATTATAGCATGCACAAAACACTGGGAGGCCTTACTTGAATTATGGTGAATTTTAAATGAGCCAAATTTTCACAAATTGAAAAAAAAAAATACATGCCAGTATATGTATAATGTTCACATAAAATAATTTCTGGAGCTAAATATTCAAATAGCAATGAAGTAAACTCAAGTGTAAAACTAAACCAGGACAAAAATAAGAATAGGCCAAACCCTGACAAAGCATTTGGAAGCTTTGACTGAGAACAATAAATCAACGGAGCTACTCAAAACATTTGTCAAAATTTCAGGTGTGATAATGTTGTTGCATGATAGATAATTGTGGTGTGTGCCCCATCAACCAATTACACTGGGTATAATGCTGTTCCAAACAAATGGTAATTGTCAACATAAAACCTGAGCTGGGAACATTCCTTCCACGTCCAACAGTATCTCAGAGAAGTTAGACTGCGGTGGACTCCTGCCAAGTTTGCTTGTGTGGTCACGTGTATTTGCTTTAGAGAGAAGAGACATAAATAATTTTGCTAATTGCAGAGTGAAGTTGACTGACATTTGGTTAGGTATGGTGTGGCATTCCAACACAGGAGTGATGTTATAAAATAATCACAGGCAAAGCAGCTATCAATCATTCAGCCAAAGGGTGAGGGAACAGCATGATGACACGTTAATTATACACTCACACAACGGGTTTCTCCCTGCCGACCCAACAAACATGCCACAACCAAAAACCTCCACGGGGCTTTTTCAGGAGTTGTGTATGTGCGTGAGTCAAAGAAAACTAAACCAAAGGACGCAGAAATGTTCATATATTCAGTGATGCATAGAGAAAACAGTTACCACGCTGGAAACAACAGAGAACTTGACAAACTTGATTAGAATGTACAACGATGTTGTTTACTGTGTATACACTGCATGCAAGTACTGCCTGAGTGCACCACCGCCTAGAAACAGGTTTGCTGTATCGGGGTCCTTATTATTGCACTATGAACATTTTCCGCCACTAGGGGGTGTCTGTACACAACTCAAATGCACAGCGCCTGCCAATCCCATCTGCGTCATCCTCACAGCAAGTCAGCTTTAGTGCTTAGCCTCTCTCTTTCAAGTTACGAATATAGATGTGTAAGGTAAGAGCAAGAAAATATTCTCTCCCTGAGTCATCTCTGCACAAAGATTTTTGCCTCTGGGAGAAAATAAGGACTCACGGGACAGAAGAGCAACATTATCATCAGCGTAGATCATCAATGTTGAGTAAGAAAGTCAAAAGAAAAGTAGAAAAGTCAAAAGTAATGAATCATTTTTAAAATCCACACCCTGTTGATTTTTAGGTGAGAGCTTCCAAAACACCTGAGGCAAAGCATAAAATCGATCAAGTGATTCGTGGCAGGAGCTTATTTCCTATTATGACTAAAGCGGATGATTATTATTTGAGTAAGCACCTAAATGCTGACCTTTCTGTGTTGATTTAACAGAATTACTATATTCTCATGAGTTAAAAGAGTTTGTTTTTATTGTATACAGTACATACTCATATTGCCAAGACATTGCCACGACTACAGTAGATCTCTGTGAACGTACAAAACCAGAGACTTGTACATCAAACGGATAAAAGAAGCGTTCTGTCCTTTGTTTCCTGACATGAAGCGCTAACCATCAAACAGGTTTCATTAGCATGGATTAAAATAATTAAATTTTCCAATTGACGTTTTTCCAAATAAACCCAGCGTCTTTATTCTTTTTTAATTGAGCTGGTGGATTTGAAGTCAGTTCTTAAACAACGATAAAATGTTTGTCTTTTGACTTTACGAGACATTAAGTTTCCTAGTTCACATTTCCTGCTAATTACGTGTGAGATTTGATGGCCTTGATAAAAGAACGGAGCGGAGGGCGACTTTGGTTAGCAGGAAGCACAGAAAAGACTGATGGAAATACAGAGGGGAGCGAACATGTGAAGTGGGGGGAAAGAGGTCCTAATAAGAATCAGAGTGGTTTATAAAGAGCACCAAATGTTTGCCCCCCCCCAGTGAGACCTACTGCAAACAGGCCCACCATGTACACTCTTCCTCTTTCTGCCTGCAGAGCAACCACACCAAAGCTTGTGGTCAGGTTTTAGGCATGTAGTGAAGAGCTGAGCCATTAGTGTCAGGGCGGATGTATGTGTTAATGTGCCAAGTGCAAACCTATGGCCAATTAATAAAACCCAAACACATAATCCATGTCACAAACACTTGCATAATGGGCAGGGAATAGTTATAATCTCTAAATATCTCTTTGTAGCATAAATGATTCAGATTCATTAAAGTCTGGCCCTTAATTGATTAGGCTTGACTTTGTCTTTGAAGCATGGTCTGAGTAAAAGCAGCTGCAGTGTGTGTGTGTGTGTGATGTACCTTGAAAATGCCCACCCAGTCTTTGGGGTGGGGAGCAATGTAAGGGGTCAGGGTGTAACGGCACTCCAAGGGTGCCTGGGGTAGGAAACTCTTTTCCACATTCTGGAAGATGACATGGGCAAAGTTGGATGTTTCCATAATGCTGACGCTGCTGCCCGGCGATGAATCCACCACCTGGAATGATGACATTGTATCCTGTTGGTCACTTCATTTGTCTGTTAGGAGAAAACAGCAGAGGACAAAGTAGTTAAGTAACAGAAACAATGGTGTGAAGGAGAGACAAAATCTCATCTCTCAGACATCTATACACACATAAAACATAACAAAAAATTCTTGAACTATTGTAATAAAAAGAGTAAAGGTTTTATGCTGTGTATACAGATATTTGTGGAAAATATAAATGTTTGAGGCAAAGTACTTTATTATATATCTACCTAAAATAAGTAGAGGTAGCCACCAATGTCTGTCTAGCAGAGCAAGACAGCAGCCAGCCGTGCCTCAATGTTTCATGCCATCTGTGGTGTTTACTACAAACTGGAAACTTCTACTCCACAACTTTAGCCACTAACACAGTGCAGCTTCTCAGGCAATAAGCATACAATGCTAAACCCTGCCAAACCTACATAGCCTTGCTGTTGCCCTGTAACCTTTTAAGTTTGTTGGGGGTATAAATGGCCTAATGGATACTTTAGAATGCTGATTTATTACAGGTAATTTCCATAGTGTGGTATCTGTAATTGTATTTGTCAAAGTCAATTCATTAATCAGAGATAAATAAAAAGGCATTACCCAGCCTGTGAAAACTGTGGTGTAATCTGTCTTCTGAGGCCCTGGAGGAGCTCTGTCAAGTCAGAGATGGTGATGTCATGGTGGGACACAAAGACTTCTTCTTTAACCAGGCAGTGGCAGCCTAAGGGAAAATGATGATTTTAATTCCATCCATCCATTATCTATATACCGCTAATCCTCTGTAGGATTGCGCGGGGTTGGAGTCTATCCCAGCTGACTCAGGGCCAAGGCAGGGGACACCCTGGACAGGTCGCCACAACCATTCACACTCACATTCACACCTACGGACAATTTAAAATCACCAAGTAACCTCAGCATGTTTTTGGACTGTGGGAGGAAGCCAGAGCACCCGGTGAGAACTCATGCAAGCACAGGGAGAAGATGCAAACTTCACACAGAGAGACCCCAGGCTGTGAGGAGACAGTGCTATCCACCGGTCCACTGTACGCCCACGATTTCATTTAATTTTAATATTCAAAGTGTAGTATACATTTATCTCTGGTGCCTACAACATACTAGAAACTAAAAGTTAGGTTTTCTTTGTTGCTTCTAAATCATACTTTGAAACAATGCAATTAGAAAATCATAAAGGATGCAATGACGAAACATACTATGGAAGACATCTCACCCAAGTTTTAAACTGTTAGGTTCATTGTTTTACAAATTCATGCCATGCTCCTTGTGTGACAGCCATGCTTTTCATAGAATCTCATGTAGAAATGCTGCCTCATGTTTTAAATCTGTTACACAGTGAATACCGAACTGAAGCTTGACGATAAATACATGAGATTACAGCATCGCAATTAGATATTTTCCCCAAAGCGTTCAGTGATGCTTCAAACTTTACATAAAAAATGCCTCTTGCAGGGCATTCAACTTTAGAAAAATGCAATACTACATTGCTGAAGAACCACCTTGCAGAATGCATTGCTAATGTAGTTAAGGGATGAAGTCACTGTATTGTCATGACTCCACCCCATCACTGTGACTAAGAACTTTACAGCAAGGCAGCTGACTTTAAAATAGTCAAACCGAATCTTTGCTGGTGGTTAAAAAAAGAGTAGAAAAGACGCTGGTGTAAATGTGCGTACCCTCTCGCAAGTGATGCAGCTGCTTTGCATCACTGTCATCCTGTCGTTTCTCCCTGGATGAAGCTATCACAACAAACCCTTCAACTCTTCATTTCCTTATGACCCAGCCCTGGACTCATGACTAAGATAAATGAATGTGAAAATGCCTAAGTCACAACTGATGCTCGATTCAGCTAAGCAGCTAATACACAGCGTTTATCTGTTCACTGAGCCCCTGCGACCAACACACAGTGAATGTAGCACAAAACAGCTCAGCTACAGCCCTGTCGTTCAAAGCTAGCACAGTTAGCCTGAGGATAATCTTATTTAAGGAGGCTAAGGAGCTAACATTAGCTTCTGAACAGGCCATGTCGTGTCAAGTCACTAGCTAGCTAAACATTATCCCAGTCAAACAGCTAGCTAGCTGGCTGACACAAGAGAGCAAAAATACAGGCGTTCATTTAGCTTAAAATTAAAAGGGTACCCTTTTCATTTGAGTTCCACTTGCGAAAACGAGTGACTTTGTGCCGGACAGGCCGATGTTTTTGCCACTGTCCCCGTTGTTGTCAAAGCTCTGACGATGATGCGTCTCTTCCTGAAAGAGAAAATGATGCTGAACTTCCGGGATGCTGAGCAGCACAAGTGATGCTGTGAATGCAAACCATACGTCTCCGCGACTGTAAAAAATAAAAATAAAAAAAACTTCCTCAGTCGCTAAAGTTACTTAAATCGGTTTACTAATAATCTTTTGCTTGCCTCGCAGATTTTTATTTTTCCGAGGTAAACAATATCACATGATAACTGTTGAGATCATCTGAAATCTGCAATCACGCACCATTCATCACAAAGAAAAAATAAATGAATAAAAACACTTTACATCTAATCTCATGGTTCAATTTGCTACATTTAAAGTTTTGTTAATTTCGAGAAAGCACTGTAATGATACTGTAGGCTAAAGGGCATTTACATGTAAAAGCACAGGAAGTCCCTCCTTTACTTAATTTCTATTGGCTCAGAAAGCTGAGCCGCTGCTGCGATTGGTGGAAAATGCCATCAATCATAACAGTTCAGCGCAGCTTTCCTGGCTTGACAGCTGTCACCGTACGCCGAGGTCAAGGGGAAAGAAGCATGGCTGCGTTGTTTAGAGGGTCCCGAAATTTATTGTTAAGGTGGAATAAGCATGTCGACTTTGCCTTCGGTAACGTATTTGCTTGTGTTGTCAGTTTCCTTGTGCCTTTTTTTCGTTTACGAGTGTGTTCGGAGGTGAATAAAAGCGGACTGCTGTGTGCTGCAGCTTGTTAGCTAGCTTGTTAGCCCTTTGAAGAAAGTATGAATACTTACTGTCCATGTTAGCCAAGTGTTGCAGCCTGGACACAATGTCCCTGAGCTGTCCAGCATTGTCTGCGTGATGACTATAAGCATGCTGACACATGAAGCAACGGCAAGATAGAGCTAATTTTAACCGATAGTAGTTCCCTTTATAGACCTTTGTATGACTACTATGTGGTGCAGCTGTGGTGGGTGTTGCATTGTATTAGTCGCTTTCAATTGCTAATTACAATGCTATAGGATGTTTTGCACCGTAAGAATCCATTGATTAGCTTTGGGCTGCATCACTGTCCAGCGCCTGCTCAGTCCACGCATCACTGCAGATCAAACAGTGCAAGACACACCTATGCTTTCCTGAATCAGCAACTGTGAACATTAATTTGATTGATTGTCGTAATGCCAAAAATCGATTCAAATTCATAACAAGCAGACCCTTGACAAGTCAGTGCCTTTGAACTATTCTCTTTTGTGATGTTTCACAGAGATTCTATCACATGTAAAGGTGTGCCTTGTGATAAAAATGTTTGATAGCACCTGAGTTAGACCAGAGTTACCAGTTTTAGCTCTTAGTTGGAATGAATGTGGTTTATGTGTTAGGTTATTAATGTTCATTTACATTTTTAATACTGTGTGTGTTTTATGGTATTTTGGATGAGCAACTCTTTAAATGGTCCAGGAGATGAGATGCAGGTGCTGGTGAGGAGAAAAAAAATCACACATAAAATCCCATAAGAGAAATTAATATATTAATAATATTCAGATTGAATATGCTATCTGTGTTTCTGATTTTTTTTTAAGCAATAAAAACACTGTCCATGTTTGGCCTAATGACAGTTACCCACCTGGATATAGCTCTTCCTCCACCTCCTCCTGCCTCATCTGTGCTTCACTGCTTTATTTCTTTCTATTTTGAGAAAGCTTCCAATATCCACAGCCTTCAAGTCTTGAATTGTGAATTAGCAAGCTAGCAGCAAATACCAGCAATTTCTCCTCTTTCATGTGCTCACTCCAAATGCACAAGTGTGAAGAAGAGTGATTTCAATCTGGTGCTTGAATAACACACAGAGGACCCAAAGCTTAAGCTGCTTGTGTTTTTGATCAATGAGATCCTTTTATTTTGGAGAACTTTGATGCATGATTGGAATGACAGATGAGTAGATCTGGGGTCCTTTATTTTCATTATTATCATTATTGTTTTGTTTTGTTTTCATTAAGCTATTCATAAAATTGATAATAGAAAAGATAAATGAATCATTCTCTGCAAAACATTTCCTGTTTCCAGTTTCTCAAACAACTTTTCCATTTCTCTGTGTTACATCAATGTAAACTGTACAATTCTGAATTGTTTTGGAGTGCTTATGGGAACAAAAATATATAGTTTTATAGTAGATTTTCTATTATTTGGGAAATTAACAATTTGCTTAATAAAAATAAGTAATGACTGAGAATGTGTTTCACTTCTACAGTTTCAAACTGGTAAAGGCTTTGTTTCCAAAAATAAGTTTTAAAACCAACAAGTTGAACCTCCAAAAACATACGCTTGTGTTTTATAAGGATGGTGCCATTTATTTTTGAAATACTGTGTTGGGAAAATGGTAAACAATGGATGGCGACAAGAAGTAGTGCTAAAACAAAATAGCCACTTGGCGGAAGTATCTGTTCTACTGTTGTTTTCATTTTATAGATCGCATCATCATAGTAAATACTCATATTTACTAAGTGCCATTGTGTCACTACATAAAACTCTTTCCCAGCAAATGAAGCAACACCTTCAGCATATTTGATTTAGTAATTTTAGGCCAGTATCAGATGATACTGCATTATCACTGAAGTCATACTGTTGTGGTATTTACAGAATATGTCAAGGAGTCAACTGAATTTAAGCCAAAGCTTTGTGTTTGTTCTCTATTCAAGCCTAATCCGGTTGTTGTAGTCTGATTGGCACACTGCCAGAGTTTCCACTCTGTTTACTATCTCTTAACCTGGCTAGACTTTGGCTGAGCCACAAGTGTTTCATTGTCTGGCCAGACATCCAAAAAAAGATGTTGTAAGTTACAACCTAAACAAAAAGCTCTGTTATTATTGATTCTAATTAGTTCATTGTGCTGCACTAATGCGTTCTGGAAAATATTAGGATTTTTTTTTTCTTTACAGTTGCTCTTCACCTACATTTAAACTGACAGCAATTAGTCTTAGAGACAAAAGTATGTCACAGCACTGCTCACAGTGGGGAGTAGTCTCTCCTTTATTGTCTGGACCAGTTCAGAGAAGCATTCAAGATAATGAGTTTAAATGTGTTTGTATTGCTCTGGACTTCAGCTTAACAAAATATATTTACCCCACAGTTCTAATGTCTTTTTTTTCTCTCTCTGTTAGCGTCAACACGATCAATGGCCTCAAAGACGCCAGTGGGGTTTATTGGTCTGGGAAACATGGGCACTCCCATGGCCAAAAACCTGCTAAGAAATGGTTATCCTGTCATTGCTACTGACGTCTTCCCTGAGTCTTGCAAGGAGCTGCAGGACACTGGTGCCCAGGTAACACACTGTCAGCTACACATTGCATGCCCACATCTAAACCCGTACTTGGCAGGGCCACCAATTCTTTGAAACTCACTGCAGTTCTTAGTATTGTTACCTAATTAACAAACTTTGAGCCAACAGAATTTTACAAATAGTATGATAGTCAGAGCTATATTTACTACAATTGTTTCACGACTGCGTGTATATTATGTGGTAATGACACCGTTTAATGATGACTCCCATATTTAGGTAGTGGACTCCCCAGCAGAGGTGGCAGAGAAAGCAGACCGCATCATCACCATGCTACCCTCTAGTCCCAATGTCATAGAAGTCTACACAGGCCCAAATGGCATCCTCAAGTAAGCAAACTTTAATTTCACAGTCTCTGTGATTTTGCAACATTCATGCAAGCCCACACCACCTTTTAAAAAAAAAAAACTGTAAGAGAGAAGCAACACACTTGCAAGGTGTTTATTGGGTAAACAAGAAGGCTTGGCCAGAGAAAATGTATTCCATGCACTGCACACATTGTGCTAATGCTTTCTGTCTTGCTCTGCTCAGGAAGGTGAAGAAGGGGACTTTGCTGATTGACTCCTCCACAATTGATCCTGCTGTCTCTAGAGAAATGGCAGTTGCTGCAGAGAAGATGGGTGCTGTGTTCATGGACGCTCCAGTGTCAGGAGGTATTGTGTCAGCCAAAGCATTAGTAACCAAGCTGCTGTCTTTGCCTTCAAACGCTTCACTTCTGCAAAATCTATTTCTGATTGGGATTTTTTTAAATATTATTGTCTCTTTGGGATTTTTTATTTTTTTTGACAGTTTTTTTTAGAGTATTGCATTTCATAGGTGGAAGTTGCTTGACTCTAAATATCAAAAAAGTAGGAACTAATGTTATTCATGTGTTAGGAACTATATAAAGAATTATATAAAGAAAATGAGAGAAGTTGTAGATGACAGTATCAAAAGCAGGATTGGACAGCTAGTTTGTTCATATGAGAATACCAGCCATAGTGTTAGGCCTATGACCCTTCAGCCTTGGTTCTGTACAGTCTTATACTCTTTTGTATATCTAAACTATTGGACCTTCTGGGTTAGTGCTCGGACATGGGTTGTAATTACTGAGCGGTCCAGCCAGTAGGTGCCCTCTTGAGGTTTTTATTGCTGCTTTTGACCGGGGGTCTTAAAGGCAAGGTTAAGGTTTTAAGTCCTCATTATGTTGGTGCTGTCTGCTTGTGACGGCTTCTTGACAGAGCACAGGATCACCAGTCGTCCTTAATGGGCTGAGCTGCAGTGGAGAATCCCGTGTCAGGGCTTTTCATGTTGATGGAGCCGTAATGGCGGGTATCCCATGTTAGTGCCTTTCATGTCAGATAAAGAGTCATAAAGAAGAGAGAAACTGCCCTCACATGGAGAGCAGAAGAGAAGAGGAGAGAGATAAGACATGAAGGAGATACATCGCAGTAAAACTGTCCATCTCCCTTGCTCTCTCTATCTTTTTCTCTTTCACACACACACACACACCCACTCAGTTCTTTTGATTCAGGTATGCAGTTAAGATTTTCTACATCCTGTCATTCCTGCGTGTTTGACTGCTAACTCTGATCATGGTCTATTTCCTTTTTATTGCACAATCTTTAATTCACATTGCACACTGTACCTCCCGCCCTCTCCCATACAAACACAGTTTGTATGACCCATTTTGGCATGTTTACCAGCTGGCGTCTGCAGAACAGACTGACTGCACTCAGTGAGATCAGAGCCTTAGGCCTGTTACTCTCCCTTAACACACGCACTGTTTACATATTATAGACGGTGCACGGTTTGTGTGTGCAGTCCTCTGTGAAGGTTCTTCCTCTCCTGTCTCCTAACTAAGCCCTTTTTACTAGCCTGAGATGACCAATGATTTACCTGCTACCTCTGGTCTCTGCAGCAAGCTCTGCAGAGACTCTTCTTTGTCATGAACATGTACACTTGCTGCATGCACCCGTCCACCCAGTGTCACCTCCAGATGTAGATAAGTCATATCCATGCGTGCATATAGCTAGAATAATTGAATATTCTAAGCAGACAATCAATCAAAAGCAGTTTTGACAGTCAGTTATAATTCTAATAATCAATTAAAGTCATTTATAAATCAACAATACCAAACATTTACCACCTCCAACCTCTAAATTGTAATGATTTTCTCCCTTTTATGTTACTGTCAATGGGAAATCTTTGGTCTGAGACAATCAGCTCTGTTTTGAACTCGTGAGTGGAACTTGGTGACGATAGTGCGACTCTGATAAGCCAAGCCAAACTTGCAAAGACAGGTCGTGAAAGAGTGTTCCGGTATGTGACAACTCAATGGAAAATTTCAGAGATCTGTGTCCCCTCTATCCCTAACCCCCCACCCGCCCCCTCCTCAGTCTGCTTTCCACATTTCTGGGTGGGTTATGAGGTTACATGCTCTGTTCCAACCAGGAGATGGCACCCTACCCAAACAGGGCATTGTCATACTCTTGAGGTTTGTGTGTATGAGTGTGTAAGAGAGACTAGGACTGATGACAACAGCTCAGCTCTATGACCAATAATATACCTACTCAGTCATTAAAGTAAAATATAGAATAACAGTAAAATAAAAATGTGTCTTTCAACTTAAAAAAAAAAAACTATCTGGTTTTCTGTTTGACAGGTTCAAGAGACACAGTATAATGCAACATAATATTTACATTACGTTTATTGCACAGCATGTTGTTTTCTATATCTTTTGATTATGTTTGATTATATTGACTTAAGGGAAGACGCATTGTCTAATCAAAGCTGATTTGGTTCTCTGGGAATAACATAACATTGAACGCAGACTTGCTGTGATCTGCTGTAATTTTTAACTTTTGCAGACACAGCCTGTACTTTCTGTGGTTTCAGCACTTGTTTTTATTTTTAATCTAGAAATTCTTTTGATATAAAATGAATCCCTTGGTGTGTGTTGTGCGAGGTGGCACATTTTATTCAGAAATGTGTGTTTGTATATTGTGTGCGTCATTAGAGGTTTGGCCTGCAACCGTGGGATCTGAATTGCAGAGTCAGAACCCTTTTTAAAAAGAGCACTCAAAAAAGCATTCACTTTCTTCTCATGGGCATCCTGCTGGCTTCCATTCATCCACATTGACCAGTGTCTTGGCTTGAATGCTGCGTGAGCCAGCTGTGTCCTGGTAAACACACACAAACACATTTATACAGAGCTGTAATCTTACAAGATCCTAGCCCCAATTTCTCCAAACACTTTCTTGCACAGACACAGTTACATGAACTTAGACATGGGTTCTTCAGGCATGCTAACGTTTGCTTGTGCACACACACACACACGTCTACCGCTGTCTGGTGTCATTAAAAACGTCCGCATGCAAAGTTGACCCACAACAAAACAGGCTCTGATGTCACAGGCCCAGGGTGTTGGCACAGTGATGGCAAAAATAGGAGGTCTGGCTAACAAGCGGCGGGGTCGTTAGCAGTAATTACCCAGAATGCATGTGTTTGTGTCTGTGTGCCCATGGTGGGCTGCCACATTGCTAACGGACGATGGCTTTAAAAAGTCCCTAAAAAACCTTTCATTGTGTTTTTTCAGTGGTGGGAAAGTCAGCAATCGGTGCAAATGAAAGCAAGACGGAGCCGAGCTGTTGTGGGACTATAGGCATTCGGGCTAATGTTGCTTGTTTGCGAGGTCTTATAATCCTCAGCTAACTACCTATTTAGGCTGAGTCTCAACACCACTCTAATCATATCCATACCACATCAACTCAACCTAAGTTTTGCAATGTGTCATTTGCCGACAGTCTGAACGTCATCCTCCAGCCTGTAGGAGCTTGTTCAAGTTAAGGCTGGCACCACTTGGTTTGTCAGTCAACGCTGCCAAGCCCCTCTTCTGCTGACTGATAAAGACTGTTTCTACCTCCAAGCCCACAGGACCTGGGGCTTCTTATGCAAAATCAGCTTTGACTTTGAAATAAACTACATGAAAAAATACACTGGTTAAATTCAGATTAATATTGGTTTATATTTTGCCCAAAACTGGTTTTGTGAAAGAGTTCTTTCACAAAACCTTTGAAAGAGTTCTTTCACAAAACCTTCCTTATTTAAGGCTCTAGCTTTTCATGGAGCTTTCGGCTATGTCAAATCAGCAGATGGAGAGTTTTGTCACACTGTTTCCAAGTTATATAACAAACTTTCATGCGTATCTTTTAAATCAGCACAGACAAGAGGTGGTATGAATAAAATCGAAACAGCTACAGAGCTTACCTATCAACAAGTGAGCAAACTCCATTCCATGAAGACTGTGTGATACAGTGGAAAGCTCAGAGAAAAGGCTCGTGAGTGGATCTTGAGATTGGATTGTTTTGCCAAACTGTGTCATTCTTTAACAATATCTTATGTTTGCTGGATGGACTTTTCATACCTTGAATTTTGAAAGAATGTAGTAGTTACAGAGAAATTTAAACAAAAAAAATAATTATAGTAACAGCAGCAGAATATAAAGTATTTCCACTGTGTTAACTGTAGTCTCTAAATACTCACTTTCTATTTTCCAAACACTTATCATATCATAAAGTATGACTCACACCAATGTTGTGTCTGAGAGCTCTCCCTGACTGAGTCTTTCACTTTACCCTACAGGATAATTAGTCTTTTTGAACTGAAAAGATGAGACGATAATGACCCAAAGTAGGTGCAATTATTTTTAAAACTTGTCAGTTGTTTAAGCTATTTTTCAAGCAAAATGCCTATCAATGGCTCAGCTTTCCTTTGTCTTTTCTGCCTCTCTGCTTTTCTCTGCTTTTATCTCTATCACAGTCAATAATAGCAGTGGGATTAGGACAAAACAAAACACTTACAAATATCACATTAGGCTTTAAGAAATTGTGATGTGAAGTATTTTGTTGTATTTCATAAACCATCATGATTTTTTGGGCTATTTGAAAAAATAACAAGCATTATAATGAATAGCAGAATTGATCATTAGATTCAACCCCACAATCGTTTACTCTACAGTAAGCAGCAAATTGAGACTTTGGATACTCATGAATCATTATCATTGACTGGTGTGTCACATAACTACATCTGTCAGAGGCAAAGCTCTACACTGTTGGATTTGTAACACAAAGTAAGCACGTTTTGGGTGATACGTTTTGCATCGTAGTATAGGAATTATATAGTGTGTAAATTTGGCACTGAGAATTTGGGCAAAATGGCTAACAAGAACACAGCTGAACACTTGCCTTTCCTTTCGTTTTAAACCAATCCAAATGTGTTTGTTTCTGCATTCGGACTAACCGGTTCCAGTCTGAGAATAAAATTATTCAAGCAGTTGCGCCTCGGAGCTTGAAGGCTGTTTAGCAAAGGTTAGTGATGACTCTCTGACTCCGAGATAAGGAATCAGGTTAGACAGGCAGGGGGTGGTGCTGCCGCAGTCTGTCATGGCTAACCAGTACGAGAGCGCGTCAGTCGTCCAAAGACTAGATTAGCATAACAAGCCTGCCACTGACGGGTTGTGGTGACATAGAGGGGCACTGAAGGAGGGAGGGAGGGTGTAGGGTGGTGAAGTGACCAGCAATGGTGATGATGGAAGGGAGGTGATGTGGGGGGGTTCGAGTCTATGCTCCAGATGGAGATAGACCCACAGCAGCTGGGGGACTGGTTCTCACAACTCTGCCCCTGTGTCATCTGCTGTGTATGTGAGCGTGTGCAGACAGATAGTCAGCTGGTGTATGAGTCATACCAAAAAGTCTCCGTCCATCAAATGTGGCCCAAACGTCACACAGCATGTCACTTATCTAAAAGCGAATTAGCATTGTGTCTGTATAAAAGTGTGTATGTCTGTCCCGGCCTGCTAACAGCCTAATTGGGGATCATTATTAACTTGCTCTATCCTAGATGAGTCTCATTGGGCCAGGAAAAGGATTGATTGTGGCTCTTTCTTGCTCCCTCTATTCTCTGTCACTTACCATTGACCAGCAGCTCCCCTATGGAATAGAGCAGTTACTGATGATGATGAAAATAATGATGATGATGATGATGAGGGCTGACCTGCTGGTCAATGGACAGACATTGCAAAGCAAACCCTTAAGGCTGTAGCAACATTTATATCCAAGAAACTATGCCGAAGCACTAAACTAAATTATCCTTCTTCCCTCGTTTTTTCTTTCTTTTTTTTTTTTTTTAAACCCAAACTTTCTTCAGTCGCCTACTCGCTCAAGGTTCTCATGGAGTATTTGTGTGCAGGAGTCAGTTCTCATGGCTCTGCGCTCGTTAAGTGGAGCCGATAAAGAGTCTGTTTTTAACATAACAGAGGAGCATTAGTAAAGTTGGCAGAAAAACTGTTGAAAGTGCTGATTTTTGATGCTGCTGTGTGTGAGCGATTTTGGTTAACGCACACCCGCGTCCCGTTTCACTTATTTACTCGATATCCGTTGTGCTTTTTACGGGGCCTGTTTAGGGTTTTAATTTGTTTGAGAAAAAAATCTGCCCTTGGGTGTAATTATAATGGTGGACCACATGAGGCTGCGTTGTTGGCCTGTAAACATCCTACCCCCACTGGCTTACACTCCAAGCAGTCGACTCCCATTGACTCAAGGCTGTTACGCTATTAAGTGTGAAGGCTCTTTTCAGTCTGAATTATAGATGACTCCATCTGAGCCAAAACAATCTTGCATGTGCATATAGTTAAAAAGTTAGTGGTGAACAATGCAGTATACTGCCAGTGTTAGAGTTTGTTTACACCAACTACATTTGGATGTGAAGGTGTGATGTGAAATCTGGCGTATCCCTAAATCTCTCCTGGCATTCTTGCAGTAAGAGCAGTTACATTGTCATTTGAGGAAATGAGGTGTTTGGTGGAGCTCTAATGATATTATAGGTGTTGTTTTGCTCCAAGTGTTTTTCCGTATAATCTCTGGGGGGAAAAAAAAGCAGGGTTGTGGAACGTTGTCAAATGCGTCATTCATTACCAAACACTGGGAACATCCCTCCATATGTGTGTGTGTGTGTGTGTGTGCGCCTGCGACTGTGTGTGTTGTTTGTGTTGCCTCATATTCGCAAATGTAGTTTAATTTAAACCCACCGCCAATAAAAAGTGGCTACTGGTTTACATGCGGCTCGTAACTCTGAGACACAGCCTCAGAAGCTCCAACTGACGTCTTATTGGCGGCCAGCTCTGGGATCTGCACCTGTCTCTGGTACACACACACACACACACATTTACACACACAGATACTGCATGCACATTTACACTCACATTCTCACTTGCTTTGTACATACAAGCACCACTTCAAAAAGAGTTAAAAGGTTATACGACTGTCATGAATTGCTTTGGTTGATTCTTTTGAGTGTAATGAAAGAAGTGCTAATGAACTTAGTGTTCACTACAAACAGGCCAAACCAGAGTTGTTTCTCTGATCTTCCTTTGCCTTCACACAACTACTTTCAAACGCTTATGTTCACGGTTAATGCCTGTCGTCAAAGCCTGCTGTTAAGCATCTGTCCTGATAGAGCGTGATTGCTCGCTTATTCACTTGAATTTTGTTAATAGGGCAGATGAAGGAGATGTCTTTATGTGTAATGTCTGTAACTGAAGAAAGCTCACTTGGATGGGCCACACACAATTTTCACATGCACATACTCAGACACACTTTCTATGTGGTGCCTTTCCATACTTCACACAACACTATAAGAGCCACTTTCATTCTCCTCCCCCTCATCCTTGCAAAGTAAAAGTCACACAGTTTCTTATTAATAGTCTAGCAAACTTCAGCCTAGTCTGAGAATATTTGTGTTGGGTGATTTGAGGGTGGGGAGGTGGGCACCCACGACTCAGTCAACCAAAGCTTGTCCCTTGGATGTGGATGAGAGAAAGTGACTGAGGCAAGAGGTGGTTCTTTCCCAAGGGAATTTTCTCCCAAGGAAGGATTGTCTGCTGGTTTTTGCAGTTTTATTTTCACCTTTATTTTTAGCCTTTTTCAGAGATCTCAACGAGAAGGCAATGCCTGTAGTTAATAGCACTCTGGTATAATTACATTGTGCTTAGTGTATATCTTGTTACGTATTTGTTGTAGCATATAGTACGCAACTGTCTCTTGTGGATGTCTTCTTAGCATCTTTATCCCTACTGTACTCTTTCCTCTCTGTGTCCCTACCCTGTATCTATCATAGGTGCCCCCCAACCCCACACACATACTCACACCTTGTCTCCCCCCCTAGGGGGCGTTGTGTAGTTGTGCAGTGCTAACGATCCAAGACTGTCACTCCCGCTGGGATGGATGAGCCGGCGTACCCGGCGCTCAGGAAGCCTCATTAGGATTCCTCTTTAATCCGTCTCTGACAGGACCGGCCCGAGAACGGGACGTCCCCACACACACGCACACACACACACACCACACACACATTAATACGCAGTGAAAGTATACACACCACATAGACACAGAATCACACGCGCAACCACAAATGCACTTCAGTCCGTGCACAATGAACAGACTCGCTGATGCCCTCAAGATGCATACACACAGACACACACTGTTATGCTAATGATGTGTTATTCTTCCACCAACAAGGATCTTCCATCATCCTGGTGTCACTCCTTATAGAAATCCACTACAGATCATAAGAGCTTATTATGGGTGATTAGTTAATTTGAGGGAGGGATGCTGGGAGGTAGAAAGAGAAAGATCGTTTTCCTGCTTTGCTGTCATCTCTACATCTCTCTCTACTGCGCTCTCTCTCTCTCTTGCTCTCTTTTCTCTCTCTCTCCTCCTTTCTCTCCTCAGTGAGATATATTGATTAGCATGTCGACTGTGTTATCAATAATCTCCTCTTTAGTCGTCTACAAACAGTGATCTCCACTAATGAACCAGCACAGTTGTCACACTGCTCTTTCTGTGTTTGTGTGTGTATTTGATTTTGTATTTTGTGAGGCTCAACTTGCAGCATAAAACTGGAAAATGAAAGGAAAGTAAAATAGAAGAGAACTGACACAATGAGTAAAACTTTCACAACTTCAGTATTGTTGTATTTAGTTTTGTAAAAAAATAAGTTCTGGGCTAGTCTTACATTGTATAGAAAGTCTGTTACATTAAACTAGATTCGACTGCTTTTGAACCAAACAGAAAACATGACATAAAGTAATAAGAAAGGAAATAAATCTATCATTCCGGTGAACCATATGGGTATATGATTGGTGTGTGTGGCAGCCGTATGCTGCCGCAGCGTGGGCTTTGAGCTTCATTATGTGGCCCTAATGACCTGCTGACAGCTCATCACTGACACACACACACACACACACACACACACACACATATATATACAGTGCAGTGGCATCATCATATACTTGACAACAGCATAGCCAATTAAAGGAGGATGTATATTTATGTTTATGGGCCATGGAAATATACAGTAAATCCAGTCTCCTCTTACATCTACTCTACTCTCCTCTGCAGTGAAGTCTAATAATGGGATTTCAGCTGTTTTGTCCCCAGTAATTCCCTTTTAATTATTAACACTGACATTATTAGGCTTTCACTATTAAGAGGTCTTTCATTAGAGCTGTATGGCACCCTAAAGAGTGATTTGAACTCCATCTCCTCTCTCCACCCCTCTCCCTTTTGTTTCCTTCCTTCTTGCAGAGAAAGTTTGTCAGTTTGAATGAGTGTTCATGATCGCTGCTTTTTTTTTCCCTCAATGTCCACAGCCTCAATTTCTCAAGTTGCTGTTTATTGTATTACGACTGTTATTATTTCAGGTTTTGTCTGCATTTGTGTGTGTTCATCTGTATGTGTATCCTGCTACTCATTGTGTGTTCAGTATGAGTCACTACAGCATTTAAGAGACAGTGCCATTGCATAAGAGACTCAGGCCGGCTGGGTTCAACCCACTCAGAAAGGGGTTATTTTTGCATTAAGGACCCTGTGGAGAGGGTGATGAGGGGGGGTGAGGTTGCCTCCTACAACATGGCACGCTCCTTAAGCCATCAGGCATGGGGAGGGATGCCTAATTGAACATGATAAAGTGTAAAGTTAATTACCCCTCACGCCTGTCACTGATACCCCCATGAGGGGGGCTGGCCTCAGGCACAGCTGTTGGTCTGTGTGTGTGTGTGTATGTGAAAGAGTCGGGGGGACAAGACAAAAGGCAAAGGTTCCCCTGAGAGTTGTGCAGTGGATGATGGCAACAATCGGCTTTTAAAGATGCCTCTGTCCCTCTGGTGCACAACTACTTAACACGTCTGTCCCACAATGAGTCTCGCATGTACACACAGAACAGTACACAGCTGACCACTGATGCACCAATAATAGTGTTGAAACAGTCAAGTGGTTGATGGATTAAATGGCAAATCCATATATTTTAGTTCGATATGCCTGTTTATTTAATGCTCACTTATTTAAAGTTTTATCAAATCTAACTTTCCATTTCATCCGATATAAGTAGTGTATGTTGCAGGTCTACATGTTTGAGTTAGACTGCTTTGGAGGCTGGGGATTGATGTGTGAAATATTATCACATTATTTATTCACCGCAGTTGACCTCATTACTTCACTTGAACATGTCGTGTGTGTGTTTAGGTGTTGGGGCTGCCAGCATGGCCAAACTGACCTTCATGGTAGGTGGAGTAGAAGAGGAATACAACGCTGCTCAGGAGCTGCTCACCTGCATGGGAGCCAATGTTGTCTACTGTGGGCAGGTTGGCACTGGACAGGTAAAGACAGATGCATGAACACGAACAAAAACTCTACACACATAGATATCATGGACATAAGAATTACAAGGTGTGTCAGAAAAGTTCCAGGGCTGGTGTCAAAACAGATATATTTCAAATCCAAACTACAAGTTTTCCCCTTCGAAGTAATCCCCCTGGAGTCCAACACACTTTCCCAGCCTTCTCTGCCACGCCGCCATGCACTCCTGGAAGGATTCTTCCAGGATCCTCCGCAGCTCCGTCGTCACAACCATGTTGATGTCGTCCACATCTTCAAAACGGGTTCCCTTGATGACCCCCCTTGAGGTTGGGAAAGAGGAAAAAAATCCCATGGAGCCAGGTGGGGTGAGTAGGGAGGTTGCTCCAGCACAGCAATGTTCTTCTCAGCCAGGAACTGTCGGATGCTCAGGGCATTGTGAGCAGGCGCGTTGTCATGGTGAAGCAGCCATGACTTGTCCTGCCACAACTCTCACCCCTTGTCGTGCACTGAACGACGTAAACGCTGCAGGATCTCTTTGTAGACGTGCTGGTTGATCGTCTGAAGGGAAAAACTCATAGTTTGTAGTTTGGGTTCGAAATGTATCTTTTGTGACACCAGTCCTGGAACTTTTCTGACACACCTCGTACATACTGTAGTTTGCTTGTTAGTTAAACTATATATTGTATCTTGCATATACAAGTGCCCAATCCATACATACTATAAGATTTAAAAAAACATGCTATTCCACTAATAAGACATTTGTTAAACACAAAACTTCTTACAAACAAAAAAATGTCTTTAATTCCCAAAGTTTACACCAAAAATATGACACAAAAACATTCCATTTCAAACGCACAATTTATTTTCACAGTGCTATATCTGGAGGAACACACACACACACAAAATGATGTTTTAATAACAAGCATTTCAGTTGTAAAACATGAAATATATTTGTCTTCAGTCTCATCTAATAACATTAAAAACTATGCATTTGTTTTTCTGGGAAATAATTAAACCTGCCTGTTTCTATAGCTAAAAGTAATAAACTACAACATAACTGCAAAGAAAGATCTTTGACTTTTGGTTAATACGTCTTCAAACAGAGCTCTAAACTGAAGTGCTTTCTCTTTTGACAATTCTGTTCACATTTGTATCCTCACATACCTTTTAATTGTTTTATCATCCAGTGTCATGAGTTGTCTTGCAAACACATACACAAGAAGTGCTTTATCTTCTTTCTATTCACACTTCTAGGCTGCTAAAATCTGCAACAACATGCTGCTAGCCATTGGAATGATTGGGACTGCAGAGACCATGAACCTTGGCATCAGGTATTGTAAGCAAATTCTACATGAACCTGCTGCCTACAGGCAAAACAATACTGAAACTGTGCTATCAGTGGCTTCATTTACATGGTAAAGGTAAATGTCAAAGTAACAATGGCTGGTTTATTTGTGGGAACACTGCAACAAGAATGTCTATTTTGGATATCAAAAGTAGGTGTAAATGACTTATCCCAACGAAAGTCTGGAATACAAGCTAGTATTTGAAATATGCTGCTCACATGCAGATGTACTGTAGCTTCTGTGGGGTAAAAGTGTGCATGTAAAAACAAGGATTCAATGCATCCATTTCAGTTCCCTTTTCTTGTTGAAGGATGTGGAGAAATAGTATGTTTCCAGACATTAGGTTATCATGGCAAGTATAAGTACCATGAAGTTAAAACGGCACGATTACAACCTTTTAGCCACGCATTAATTCAACTATGAAATTGCCCTTAGATATAGCCGTCACAATAAAAAGCAATTACTACACCGGTGATATGGCTGTAGCTGTAATTTACTACTTCAATACAGGTTTGGAAATGTGCGTGTGCTTCTGTGTGGGTGTGTGTAGTTTATGGAAGTGCAAAGGGGTCAGCCCTGCCCCAAGTCACAGCCGCCTCTGCTGGAGCGAGATGGATGAGGGGGTGGAGCCACAGGGTCTGATTTACATCTGCTGATTGAGCTCTCACCAGTCTCCTGCCACACCCCTACCACTGCACACCACCTAGAAATCCCATCATTCATCATGCCTCGTCCTGGCACAAAGCCTCTTTGGCCAGGACGCTGAGGATGATGGGATATGAAGTCTTCTGAATTAGGCCAATATAATCCCATATGAGTAGAAATCATCTAAGGAGTGAGGTGTGAACAAGCCTCTGTCCATCCAAGCCTCATCAGAGTGTAGTGTCTGTTAAGAATCTCCCTGTTTTTGGAAGTAGGGGTCAGGACAGTGCATTTTGAGTGCAGTTTGCATACATAAAGCCTATAAATCACTTATTCCTCAGATGAATGATGTGTGAATTTATTTTCTACTCCGTTTATGCATATCCCTTGTCAATAATAGACTGTTTCCTCTGTTCAGTGTTTTACTATTATGTGTTTTTATGGGGTTTACAACGCAAAATGGTATGTGCATCCAGTTGTGTGTGTGAGTGTGTATGTGTGAGTGCGTGCATGTACGCGAATTACTCTTTGCACAGTGCAGCTGTGTTAGTGCGTCTGATTTATCTGTGCTGAGACAGAGGAGGAAAATTGGCATGAGCAGTCGCACATAAATCCCCTCACTAGGCCTCTGAAATATGGAGGCATTAAGGGAGCAACACAGATTTACACATTGCCACACTGTCTCTGAAGCACACACACACGCAGACACAGATTTACATCCAGATACACTGAAGACAGCAGTTTTCTACCAGTACAACAACTTCTCACAGTGCACATCATTATAATATATTACAGTGAAAAACAGAATACTAACTACTGCATCCCTTTCCTTTGAATGTGAATTATTTTTATATCTTTGCGAGACTGACCCATATTCAGTCTTGATTGTATGAGCGTTCTTGCACAGTGTGTGTGTTCCCGTTCGTGTTTCCCCGTCTTCTTACTAGCCAATCTCTGGGGCTTTATTAGAGGGCTTGACAAAGACTGTCATCGTTTAGAGAGCCCACACCCGTAAATCTCCCATGCTGCATTGCGGCCCAGCCTCTTATGCAGAGAGGACGCTCTCTTAGGCGCATGTGTACAGACGCACACACACTGACACAGTCCAACACAAAGGAGACTGAGCACTCACAGCCAATTTACAGGAAAACGGCAATAACATTTTATCATGGTGGACTTGGACCTGATAGAGCTGCCCTTTCTTCAAATATATGTATATGTGTGTGCGTTTCCTTACCTGTACAATGCAGGCAGACACACAAAAATACGCACTCACATACACACAGTTCTGTTCATGGAGCTAATTTGTTGATCTCAGATGGAAGCTCGGGCCGTCTCCAGCAGAGCGTGACGTTCTCTTAGTGCAAGGAATGGCCACGCATGACAATTATGAACACACACACACACACACACACTCTCCCACTCCCAAACCCACATGCACACCCTGTCTTTCTACATTCCTCTCTTTCGTTTTTTTTATCCCCATCCATATTTGCTTTACCTTCTCATTTTTATAATCCTTTCATCTCTTCTCTTGTCTCTTTTGTGCCCGCTGTAATTTCTGCATGCAGCCAACCAGTCAGTGAAAGAGGGGGCTGAGAAGCTGCAGAGAGTAGCGTAGAGTGGTGGAGAGGAGCAGCCGTGATTTTAATGATCCACATGAAGATGAAAGGAGAGGAAGAAGAGGAGAGAGAGAGAGACAGAGAGAGACGACTGGCCCAGGAAGGGATATGACACTTTTACAGCTTACAGTTCACCTTGCGCGCCTATGTACCTGCGCCCATCCATGCGTGCAGACATGCAGTCATTGATGCACAAGCACACATATTTGTTCCTTTGTTCATTTTATGGGGAGAACAAGAGGCAAATCAAAGCATATAACGAGACAGAATCCTTTTGTGCTGAGACAGAAATAGGTTTACCACAACACACATGAGCACAAACACGCATCTCTCCTTCTCTGAGCGTTTAGATGAATTGTGAGCATATGTTCCGATGAAGATTAAACATGGGTGATAAACGCGCTTGTTGCCTCTATAAATGGGATAGTAAACGCTTGTGTGTGTATATGTGCTCGTTAGCTCTTTAATGAAATAATAAATGGGGAACGGGTTGGGCTTCCTCTCTTGTGGCATCAGATGAGGACGAGAAGCTAATCATAATGAAACAGACAGTTAATATCAGTGCTGCAAATGAACTCCACCTGCTAGAGCTCCCAGCACATAAACACCCTCCCCTCTTATTTCCATCTGCAGCCCCATCTCTCTCCCATTTTTTAATCTACGGCAGCATCACACGGCAACACATTTGTTTCATCGTTCGTGTGTGTTTATCCATGTCAATCTTGTTAAAGCGTGACATGTCCTCTTCTCCACGCAAATTACCACAGGCGAGGAACAACACCACTGCGTCAGCTAATAACCACAGTTGAGTGTGTGTGTGTGTGTGAGTGGTTTTCGGTGTGTGTATGTGTGATGGGAGCAAGAGGGGAACTTCATTGATTTATCGTTAACAGAGGACAACAGCTCCCCGTCAGCGTCTCTGGTCGCTATAACAAACGATCTGCGCGCTCGGACGCGCTTTATTGTAGCTCAGCCGGTAACCTTTTCAGCTGCTGACCCAGAACGCAGGGAGGGGCTGCCTGCTTGTGTGTGTGTGAGGAGAGCTGAGAGGGGGGGTTTGTGTGCGATGTCAAACATATGTCCCCAAGAGTCCTCAGACAGGGAGGTGTCAGCATGGAAGGCGAGGGGGAGGAAGAGCAGAGGAGTAGCAGGATGCGAGGGATGCTTACAGACATAAACTAAAAAAGCCATCATGAGCGAGACTGCCATTTTCAAAAACACGCAGAGTCACTTATGCCATATTTCCAAAACTGTTTCTTTTTAAAATTAGGCAGTCGGAGCAGGCACATAAGAGATGAAGGGAAGGGAAAATGGGGAGGGAGAGACATGGAGAGAGTGTAAACGCAATTCCTATTCTTAATTAGTTAGTAGACAGCTAATAAAACTGTGGCAGTAATGGCAGAATGAGAGCCAGGTGGAGAGAGGGAGGGAGGGAGGCTGCTGGCCTTAAGGACCTATGATGGTTTAATAGTCATATTGAGAGCAGAATAGAGTTACAGGCCTGTAAGTAACAGTAAACTAAGGCAGCCAGGACTTGATGTGGTCGGCTTTACACTGGCCTTAAAACCATTAATATACAAAAGCTGCACTACACAGGCGAGCTGAATGGCCGACACAGACGCTACAGTTACACCCTCCCTACTGTAATGGTTGGCACTTGGTTTCACTCCTTGCTTCTGTCTGTGCTCTGTCTCTTTCTTTGTCTCATTTGCTTCTTGCTGCTTGTTATCATAGCCTGGAGATTCGTCCTCTTGCATATGAAAGTGGGTTGCTGCAAAATGGGGCAGCAGAAGTAAGAAGTGCGCCTCTGTATCGTGACAGCGAGGTTTATGGCTCCCCTGTGCTGCTTAACCACTTCTCCTCCTCCACTTTCTTGAACGAGGGATGATGAAGGATAGATGTGGTGGTAAACATCAATACTGCATTAGCCAGCATTACAAAGCCTTCAGCCATTAACACTGAGGAATGGTCACAGCCAGGCATAAGGTTCAATGGGGGTCACTGCAATCACCAGGCGCCCCCACACCCATCTTTTTGCCACATTTCTCTTTTTAAAATGAACACCATAATCGGTGCTCCTGTTCATCCCGTCCCTGTCCCTTTTCTCTTGCATAACTCCTCTTTTGTTTTTGTACCTTTTCACTTAGATGCTAAAAGCCTCAATGTAAAATAGAACTATAATAATTCGGTGTGATATTTTGGTGGTGTATCCTTCTGTTTTGAAGACATTTCTATTTACAATGTTCTGTCTCCTTCTTCCAGACTGGGTTTAGACCCCAAACTGCTGGCGAAGATCCTCAATATGTCCTCAGGTCGTTGCTGGTCCAGCGACACGTACAACCCTGTCCCCGGAGTGATGGAGGGAGTCCCCTCTGCCAACAACTACCAGGGTGGCTTTGGAACCACACTAATGGCCAAGGTACAAGACCTGCCCTCTCTCATTGTGTCATGCCTTGTTTTCAGCATCTGTGATTCGTTGCTGGGACTGCATCAGATGATTAGTTTCATTATCCGTTCATCTGTTGATCACTTTTTGGGTCGTTTATTCAGCTGGAGGAGCCCAAGGGGAGAGCTTTAAATTGCTGTTTTTTTCCGACCAACTTTTAAAACACAAAGATGGTAATTAAAATTTTATTAAAATGGAGCAAATCAGCAAATTCTGGCCTTTGAGGAACTACCAAATGCTTACCCTTTTTTCATGATAAATGATAAAAATGGATAACCAATACTCAAAACTGCTTCCTTTTAAAGTTATGATTATCAAGTAATTGAGTAATTTTTGGGCGTTTTAGCTACTGCTATTCTTCGTCTTTTTTTATTATTATTATTATTTAGAGTCTTTTTTGTGTGGTTCTCCCTGCTCTTGTTTTCTCTGATCTGTCTGACTTACTGTCATTGTATGAGTCAGTCTGTGTCTGCATTATTCAGTGAATTGCTTCCTCTGTTAACACATTGTTACTGACATTTCTGCAGACTCCACAAATTAAAATGCAGAAATTTTAATATCCCTCAAGCTCCTCATATCAGCTGTTAAAACAAGAGGTTATCATATTAAACAACCTTTCTTTTACTTTTTCTCTCGGTCTCTTTTTGTGCCTCTGTTCAAAGGATCTTGGTTTGGCCCAAAACACTGCCACCAACACTAAGACACCGATTCCTCTGGGTTCCCTCGCCCACCAGATCTACCGAGTCATGTGCTCTCGCGGCTACGCTAACAAGGACTTCTCATCAGTCTTCCAGTTCCTGCGCGAGGAGGAAGGACAGTGAACGAAGGGGTAGCACAGCTGACTCTGCTGCTACCATACACAAACACACACATGCACACACACATCAGAACCTCACACCCCAGTGCCCCTTATCCCACTATGCTCAGGAGAGACTAAGGCCTTGCCCTCAGGCACAGATCTGCGGTCCAATTAACATACTGTATGTCGACACATGTCTCCTCATTGCATTAGCTGAATCATATATTCAATTGATGGCACACCCTCTACATGGAGGAAATGCTAAAACTGACCTTAGATCAGTATCTAGAGACAAAGCAACTCTCTTTCTGGTTTGTGCTGAGAGGCCAGGGTAGGGAAAATGAGAGGTAGTATGAGGTGCTGCAGGTTTACATGTAACAATGCAAATACTATGTGGTTTTTCAGGATGATGGAAAAGTAATTATTGCATGAATGTTCAAGCTTAAGTATATTCTTGTTGGATTTGTGCTATTTGCCTGTTACCCAAGTTACATGAGCATGTCCCTGTTAAATGATAGAGGACAGAAAAAACAGTAAGGTTTCACATAATGATAGAAATTCAATCAAAGAGAGTCCAGAGGTTGCGTTCTCCTTTAGCTCATGCCAACATTCACAGCACTACGTGTAAGGTTACCCAAACCGGCCACACATTAGGCTCAAAGTTTACTTGTTTGGTTCCACTTCTAAGTTTTTGGCAGGAAAAGAAAGACTGTCATTCAGTCATTTATGTTTTCCTGCTAGTGCACTTTCAACTGTTTTCATTATTCAATATTTCAATAAATCTTTTTTTTTTTTTTAACCTTGTGAATACACTATAGTTACAGCACTTTGGGTCCTTTGGTACTACATTTAAGTCTTTACTCACTGGATCGCCCAGTTCTGCTCTGCAATACTGTGAGATAAATATCCGGTTATTTTTGCACCATGTGCATCGCAGTGCGATGTGCTGGGCCGTTTTGATACAGTTACAGAATCTATTTGAACTTACCTCTTTTTCTCTACTGTCTACATCTGCCTATTGAGCCACTGGAGTATTATTTTGTGACCAATACTGTTCAAATTTGATACTATTCACTACAAAATGTTGTTCTGACTGTCTTGCACCTTCGTTGGTCAGTTTTTGTCCTCACATATTTCTCCTCTCTGTCTGTCCCTTTTGCGTCGATGACATCTATGTAAAGTGTTAGTGAGGAATTGTTCCTCCCTGCTCTGAGAAAATGTACATAATGTATATTTCATTTTGTTGTGTAGTATTGAAGAGGCATCTAAATGGACTGTCACTTTTTTTTTTTAGTAAAATTCATCAATAGTGTCTACAGTCTGTCTTTGCTCTGTGAAACAGACCTTCAGTCACGCTGTAGCCTAAAATAAAAGATGTTCTGTGTATTTGGTGTTTTTGAAGATGTTGTATTTTGCTGAAGATGTACGACTTACCATTCAAAGCTCAGGTATTTACTTCTCACTTTTGAAATTATTGACATAGGTATGCACTATAAAAATAGATTGCAAATATTAATTAAAGTTATGAGTAATTATTTTGATGAATACAAAACTTAAAAGAAATTGGATCAGTGGTCATCTTACCTGATGGTGGATGAGAAAAAAAGACACCAAATTGTTAACTGTCCCACTGTAGGTAACATAAAACTAATTAAATACATTGTGAGTGCCTTGGGCTGCAAGGTGGATCAGTGGTTAGCACCTTTGTCTTGCAGCAAGAAGGTCACCGGTTCATGTCCTGGTGAGGACACCGAGGTTCTTTCTGTGTGGAGTTTGCATGTTCTTGCGTAGGTTCTCTCTGGGTTCTCCAGCTTCCTCCCACAGTCCAAAAACACGTTGAGGTTAATTGGTGATTCTAAATTGTCCATAGGTGTGAATGTGAGTGTGCTTGGTTGTCTGTCTCTAAGTGTAGCCCTGTGGTAGACTGGTGACCTGTCCAGGGTGTCCCCTGCCTTCACCCTAAGTCAGCTGGGATAGACTCCACGACTGAGGATAATGTAAATGTCTTTAATTTTTCCAGATATTTGTTCCTAAAATAAGTTCATACAGTTCATCCTGAGGGGCTCATGAATACCTGAACAAAATTTAATTTGAATCTATTCAACATGTGAGACATGTTACTGAAAACTTTCCCCACTGTGGGATCAATAAAGTTATCTTTATCTTTATCTTTATCTTTAAAACCACACATGTGAAGATCACTAGAGGAAAGGTCAGAGGATCACTGAAGTCAGTGGCATTTTGTATCAATCCATCTATGGTGATATTTCACTGGATAAGTGAAAACTTCAACCTCCTTGGGAAAAAAATCATATGTCATTTGGACTCAACCTCCAAGGACTATGGATACCTCTATCGATTTTTATGGCAATCTATAAAATAGTTGAGGATAGTTATGCTATAGCTGCCTACATTTCTTATTTCCTTAATACAGACATCATACCAGCCTTCTGCTGTTACTTTTAGAAAAAAAAGTAAGATTCTTCTCATCTGCCTGATGTGTTACTCTTATTTTCACTCTATAAGATAGATCTCTCCTTGGTTGCTCTTTGTTAAGTTTCCCCCATTTAAAAAAAAAAAAAAAAAGTTTTTCCTTATTTAAGTCAAGGTTCTAAGAGAAGATGCATCATGAAGCCCTCTGGGCCAGAATTGCAATTCTGATATTTAAAACTGATTATTATTTAACAGGTAATGTCACAGACAATAGCTCATAACCCTGTGTGAAACCTTTTTTGCGCTTTCAGTTGTACTTATCCCAATATGAGCACACCGTCGTCTTCTGGTTATATGTTTCAGAGGATATTACAGGAGTCTTATATAGCTTAAAGTTTGCAAATCAGCCAATGATCCCGCCATCCTTCTCCTCAGTGGGTTGTTGTTCCACTGTCTCTTCAAAACTCTTCAGCAGGCACTCATATAATGCTTAATGCCAGTCGGGGAGAAATAGCAGCACTAATCTCAGAATGATGCCCTTATTTCCATCATTACAATGAAATGAGAGGAAAAAAACAAATGTGGTTTTGTTTTATTTTCTCGCTCTCTTTTTCTGAGGGCTGGTGTTTCGAAGTTTTATGGAGCTGCTGTTGTCTAAGTGGCAGCCGCAGTTGTAGCAGACTGTGGCGAGCCATTGGTGGCAGGAGTTGTGTTGTGGGCTTGTGACTCACTCTGTTATTGTTCTATGGGAAGTTATGCACTTGCCTCAGCTGTATGCTTTGAAGATTATCTTCATCTGATTGTAATATAGTGGCAGTGCTTTGAAGTTTAGATTAGGAAGTCCTTGCTATCTCATATCTCTTCCCAAGTAATATTGACTTTTCAGCTGATGTCACTCGTTCAAGCAGGATTTGGCGTCTTGGGCTTATGCAGACAATAGTTCTGGTCTTCCTGAGGTCTCCCAAAAGTAGAGCTACGCCTCTGGCTTGGCCTGCTGAATTAGGCAGCGTAGCTGATTCATATTTGGGTGTTTTAATTTGCCTGTGTTTTATAGCAGGCTGCTGAGCCGGCGGTTTCCTCATTAAAGGACACATGAAAGCAGGCTGTAAAGGAGCCGTGGTGAGACCGGCCTGTGCTGACGTCTGAAGGGGACGCGAGCGACCGAGGGACCGACCAAGTCTCGAGCCAGCCGGTCTGAGCCGGAGGGCCTCACCCTCTCCACCAGGCAGCCAGTGGTGGGACACCAGACACACCACATCGACTGTGTCGACACCAGGATCCGACACCAGTCTCGTGTGTCAGCAAGAGTTCAATGTTTGATGCGTGACTTGTGTTTGTATTGTGGGATTCAAACAATATCTCACAACACTGAACTGAGAGCTACAGCGTACTGCATTGGTTTCATTGTTGAGTGCCCTGCAGCCTGTTTATAATCACATTCACTTGTACCAACAAATCTGAATACACCTGAGATAAACGACACTTTAAATTTAATTTATGTATGTTATACACTGACGATCACGTTTTCCATATCTCCAATTTCAGCTTCTCAAACTTTGTAGTTAATTTCCCACCTGGTTAACCCCCCTCCCCACCATTTAGAGATTAAAACAGCTCAGAGAGTTGCTGCTGTGATAAATACCTGAGGCAACAGCGTTCATTATTTCCCCATTATAGCTGCTGGTGGATCCTCTCGGCTGTTTAACGACTTGCTCTTTAAGGAAGTAAGAGTGGTGGGGTCACGGGGCAGGGAGGGGGCTGAGGCTCCTCTAAGCACCCCGTGATTCATATCAAACGCACGTTAAGTGGCGTGTGGCTAAATTAGTGGCTGGAATTTAGCAGGTATTATAGCTCAACCAGTGGTGTGTAACGAGCCACTGTCTCGCTGTGTAGTAATGTGGCCTTGATATCTTTTACATGAACCCACCAATAATATTCAGGGCCATTTAGCCCGGGCTCATATCCACACCCACAGTGTCTGAACATCAGCACAACACCCACTCGTCTTCTTCCTGTTTTGTAGACATCATTCCCCCATCCTGAGTCACTGACTCTGCTTAGGTTCATTAGTGAAGATAATTCCATTTCAGACAGCGGGTCAGCACATAACATGTCATGTCGACAGCGAGGCGCATAACAACAGCTAATTATGACTATGAAGTCCTCATTAGAATATCTATGGGGGTGTAGTAAGTTGCTGTGAAACATGCACTCACTACCTGGTTAAAAGGTTGCATTTCAACTATATGAGTAAACATGTAGGGGAAAGTGGACTCCATAGAGTCTCTTGTCTTGTCATGTCGCTTGTTTTCACAGACGTTCACTCGCACTATTGCAGCCAATGTAACTTGCTGGACATGTGGTGTTTGAAAAAGGTGTAATTAGTTAAATTTTTAAGAAATCACAGTCTTCCTCATGCTTTCCTGTCCTGTTCTGGCTTTCTTCTTCTTCTTCCTTCTTTTGTACAGTATACCTTCTTCTTAACATTACCCCCCACACACCCTCTGTCACCTGTGAAAAACGACAACAAGCACGCACTATTCATCACACGCTACGGCACATGCTCAGTAGCTCTTCATTATATTAATTACTCTCATTGGAAGAGTGATCATCAGCGCCTTCAGAATCCATCACCCTGGTTCCCACAGAGGCCCAGGCCCGGTAAATAATCACTGGTGTCGGGAACAGGGCTCTGGCCCTGCCGTTCCCGTCGGACCCACCATGGTGGGCCCTAAACACCCAGGGGGGGCACAGCTCCCACTGAGCCACATTCATCTCTGCCACCAACTGGGGAAGAAGGTAGCAGTAACACCTGATCCAGAAGCGGCTGGTGCTGCTTCAGACCTGTAATGGGTAAGAGTAGGCGAGAGCAGAGTAAAGGTAGTCTGATCCAGGCCCAGAAGTCAGAAGGGAATAACACGTGTGGTTTTACGACAACCTCTGGAAAGGTGTATGAGGATCTGTGGATTTATCTGTGTGTGGTACTGGTAGTTTCAAAAGAAAATCTAGAATCCCTCCACATATATAAACTGGACCAAATCAACTATAGACCACAAGAGACAAAGCAGGCTCGAGTTCCCGAGTATGCTCAGTGTGGCTCATCAAACGGAGGAACTTGCTGATTTCTCTTTTTCTCAGATGATGACAATTCCAGTGTTGTTCAGGTATAAGAAAAATGCTAGCCTTTTCTCTCTACCATTAATCCTCACCCCGACTGGTCGAGGCAGATGATTTCCCTCCCTGGGTCTGGTTCTGCTGAAAGTTTTTTTTTTTTTTTTCTGTGAAAGAGGAGTTTTCTTCTTCCCACAGCTGCTCAAAGGTATCTTTAAATTTGTTAGGCTTCTATCTATAATATAATACTGTAAGGGCTTTACTTTACAATGCAAAGTGACCCGAGATGACTTATAGTGCCAGTTCACAACTTATAAATAAAGTACTAAATTAAACTAAGACCACCTAAACATATTAGCGTATTGATTCCCTACCAATAATGCCATTTCTGTCAGTTTCTCCCAATTTAAAATCTATTACTATACTATATGAAAGTAATGGGAATCCTTTTTATATAAGGTAACACAAAACCAGAGAGTGGTGTGGCACTAAAACTAACCAACCAGCTGTGACTAGACATAAATGATAAAGGAAAAGGATCACTCATACACCAGTCTGTACTTGATCTGCTGCATAAAGTATGGTGTGTTGTAGACCCCTATGGAATATATGGGTTATGTGCATCTTATTTTAAAGAACAGAACTGGTAGCATTCTGGATAATTTGGCATTAAAAATGATTAGTCCACCTCTGAATGATAAAAAAAATAGACTATTAGTCAGTAAAGATCATTAAAATCTATCGGGCTGTGTGTAAATAGGCAGTATGAACCCAAATAAATCAATTGCAACAACAGAAAAAGATTAAACATTTGCACACAGAAGGTTTAAATGGTTACAATT